CACAGTGACAGTCATTTCTGCCTCCCGGTCCCTGGCCGTTGTGCTCACCTCACCTTGACACTGCGGCGGGGGCGGGGCTCATTGGCACGAAAGAGAGGCCGATACTCCAAAAAAGTTGACGGGCCAATGGCCGAAACTCCAATTCTTTTTTCCCACAAGATTTGATGAGCTTGAATCAGGAGGTGGGGGTTGAGCAACACGCAATCGAAGGAATGAAACAATTTGCTTCTTTACCAACATGTTTTTTTTTTCTCTCACCTGAGAGAAGGTATTGGGTGAGTGTTGGTAAGAAACAATGCTCCGGCATTTGAGCGAGTGAAAGATCTATTCAATGTCCCACTCGAGCCGCCGGGTGGTTGGAGTTGAGGTCATTGCTGCCGTCGCATAACGTAGCGTTTCCCCTTCCTTTTCGTGCCTTCAGCGGGTGTGATGCCGATGCTACGTGGGGCAAACTACCTGCAGAATACTTTGCCTGCCGCCCTACGCGTGTGGGAAGACTCCGTACCCATCACGTAGCCAACAAGAAAAAGTTTCGTAGCTTCCTGCTCCCCCCCCTCCTTGATCGGAAGCCGATTTTGCGCAACCTCTCCTCCTACCCACAGCCATCATCGCGCAAGGCAAATTTTTGCTTCCCTCGATCCTTCTTGTTTCCTTCCTCTTCTCTTCTTTTTCTTGCTCTATCCTCTAAACAACAATTCTTCCTTCCCCAAGAACTTGTCGTTGCGAGAGCACCAAAGCAAACATGTCGGGTCAGAAGATTGCCATCGTTTCCGTCTACGATAAGACTGGTCTGCTGGACCTGGCCAAGGGCCTGAACCAGCAGAATGTCCGCATCCTCGCCTCTGGCGGTACGGCCAAGATGATCCGGGAGTCTGGCTTCCCCGTTGAGTAAGTTGCAAGTCCTTGCCGAAACTTTCACGTGTATGACCCGAAGCTAATAAGCTTTTTCTAACAGGGACGTCTCTGCCATTACCAAGGCCCCCGAGATGTTGGCCGGCCGTGTCAAGACTCTCCACCCCGCCGTCCACGCCGGGATACTCGCGAGAAACCTCGAGTCCGACGAGAAGGACTTGGCCGATCAGAACATCAACAAGGTCGACTATGTCATTTGCAACCTGTACCCTTTCAAGGACACCGTTGCCAAGGTCAATGTCACTGTCCCCGAGGCTGTCGAGGAGATCGACATTGGTGGCGTCACTCTTATCAGAGCTGCCGCCAAGAACCACAGCCGTGTTACCATTCTCAGTGACCCCAACGACTACGCCGAGTTCCTCAAGGAGCTGCAAGCTGGCGAGATCACCGAGGCGAGCCGTAACCGCTACGCTCTCAAGGCTTTCGAGCACACTGCCGACTACGATGCTGCCATTTCCGACTTCTTCCGCAAGCAATACGCCGCCGATGGCAAGCAGTTTTCCGCTTTGAGATACGGCGCCAACCCCCACCAGAAGCCCGCTGCTGCCTTCGTCAGCGGTGGAGAGCTCCCCTATAAGGTTCTCGGTGGCTCGCCCGGCTACATCAACCTTCTTGACGCCCTGAACAGCTGGCCCCTCGTTAAGGAGCTTAAGCAGGCCCTGGGTAAGCCCGCCGCCGCCAGCTTCAAGCACGTCTCTCCTGCCGGTGCTGCCATTGGCACTCCCCTGACCGACGACGAGAAGAAGGTTTACTTCGTCAACGACATTGAGGGTATCGACTCCTCCCCTCTTGCTCAGGCCTACGCCCGTGCTCGCGGTGCCGACCGCATGAGCAGCTTCGGTGACGTGATTGCCCTGAGTGACATTGTTGATCTTCCTACTGCCAGCATCATCTCCAAGGAGGTCTCTGACGGTGTCATCGCCCCTGGCTTCGAGGATGCTGCCCTTGCGCTCCTGAAGAAGAAGAAGGGCGGCAAGTACCTCGTCCTCCAGATCGACCCCGACTACGTCCCTGCCAAGACCGAGACCCGGACCGTCTACGGAGTCACTCTGCAGCAGGGCCGCAACGATATCGAGATTGCGCCCAAGTCATTCAACAGAATCATCACTCCTAAGGAGTCTGGACCTCTCTCCGAGTCCGCCCTCCGAGATCTGACCGTCGCCACCATTGCCCTGAAGTACACTCAGAGTAACTCTGTCTGCTACGCCTACAACGGGCAGGTCATTGGCCTTGGCGCTGGTCAGCAGTCCAGAATCCACTGCACGCGCCTCGCTGGCGACAAGGCAGACAACTGGTGGTTGCGTTTCCACCCTCGTGTTCTGGGCATCAAGTGGAAGAAGGGCACCAAGCGCCCCGACAAGAGCAACGCCATCGATCTGTTGGTCAGTGGCGAGCTCCCCAAGTCCGGTGCGGAGCGTGAGATGTTCGAGGCTGTCTTCGAGGAGGTCCCGCCCGCATTCACTGATGCGGAGAGGGAAGAGTGGCTTGGCAAGCTGACCAATGTCGCCGTGTCGAGTGATGCTTTCGTGAGTAAAGTTCGTGCCTGCTTGGAGTATAAACCTTCTGACGAGAACCAGTTCCCCTTCGTCGACAACGTCTTCCGCGCGTCTCGATCCGGTGTCAAGTACATTGCAGCTCCCGGAGGCAGCCAGAATGACGGCGCTGTCTTCGAGACTGCGGAGAAGCTTGGCATTACGTTTGTTGAGCAGAACGTCCGCCTCTTCCATCATTAAGCGTCTGTTATTTATACCAAATCGGTGTTGCGGGATTCAATTTGGGCATGTGAATGGACGGATTTTGGTCCTGAAGTGGGAATAAAAGTTACAAATGATGATGGAAGCTGGTAACCCAACAGCCTCCGCAACTAACTAAGTGCGAGCAGCATGCGAGCGGCACGTTGGACGGGATGTCGGCTCGCCATGTGAGGTGGCAGATATCTATTGCAAAGCACAGATCACCAAAAACGTTGTGCCGCTTTTGTCAGATGACTGTGATATTCAACATATATCCGGAGTAAAATGGGATGGACTTGAAAGGAGTTTAGTTTAGCGGAGCCTGAAATCGGTGGCTGCATGGAAATAAAAGCCATTATGAGACGAGAAACTTGCCTTCACGTGCTGCACAGGACCTGCGGCTTCAGGCGTATGATTTAAAGTTTGTTTCTTTGATCACGAAGCCGATGTTGCCTAAGATCAGATGCGTAGATTGACGATCTTGCAATAGCTCCCGACGCGGGGTTTAAAATAGGCTCATGGACACGAACATGGGATAGTCGTCCATGGCAAGGCGACTCTAGACGGAAGTCTATTTGCAAGGCAATCAATACGAAGATATGCAGCTCGATAATAGCGTTCCCCTCACGTGTGGCTGACATCTACCGCTCCTAAAGGCTGGCTACCATACCCGGACGCCACTTGGAGCATTTCGAGAAGTTGAGTTTGGATTTGAGGCGGCATCGTGGAGAGCTAAAAAAGTGCGCGGGACTGAAAACATGCGATGGCGTCGCCTCAGAACTTTCTTGCTCGTCATTGTTCCGTGTGTCTGACAGCCGCGTGGCTTGCCATTGTTCCAAAGTCGGATGAACTATTGACGGATGCTGCCTTGTCTCTTGCTTACCCGTCAGTTGGTACGCCTTCCTGCGGTTTGGAAAGGACGGTTCCTAGCGCACTGACCACAGGCGTAACCTAGGTCAGTGTTGTATTCTTAGAGATGCGGATGTTTTCTTTGCAAAACTGGAAACGGGCACTCACGCAATCTGATATTGGATGCTGCTTACATACGCATACCCTTGGAAGAGAGTCCGGACCAATGGGCAGCTGCTCATGTGCTGAGAAAGGGCACATAGTGGGGCAGGTACCAACCACGGGCCAGTGATTACAGAAACGCCCCCCCTGTGGCACCCACACCCCCGTGGTCAGCCTCTCAGAACCAAGTGACGAAGTCTCTTTGGAGTCGGGCCCGCCAGTTCTCTCGAGAGTCACGGGCGAGGGCATGAGGACCGAAGAAAGGGCCTCATCTCGGCGGCCCTCTCATTTTTCTTGCGACTTTTAAGGTTTGGGGGCTTCGTCTCCTGTCGACCTTGACGAGTATAATAAGGGAGCGGCAGTCGGCACCTTGGGGCGGTTGGAAGTGAGCGACAGACACGGCAAAGACTCACTCTCAAGAGACTTGAGTCAATTTTGCAGCGCAATATCGCGAATAAAACAAAAAAAAAAAAAGGGAAGAGAAAACCCGGCGCAACAACCATCGCTCCTCAATTATACCGACAGGTATGTCCTATTGAATCATAAAGCGCATATTTCGCAAGGTGATTGACAGCAATGACAGGGGTTCTGGTGTTACGCTGGCAGGTTAGCCCCTCCGTCACCAGCCAGAGAGGCCGCATTTTCGCGCCAGAGGCCATCAAGGTTCTCACGCCGCACCGCACCTGTTCATCGCGCGCCTGCAACACCGCCTTCCCACGACGTGGGTAGGAAGCTCCTACTGCTGCGGGTTGCCCTTGGTCCCTGGGAGACCTGAGAGAGGAACCACTGGTGCCCAGTTCAATCCAGTTCGTCAATTCTTGACTTGTTGCCCCCAAAAGCCTTGTCAACGGTTGACTCGCCTGGTCACGCCTTGCCTCGCCTCGCTTCGTACCAACCTTGAAGCTTTCATCCCACTTTCATATTACCCTTCTACCCAGTCTTGGTTCTGTTTCGTCAGGGCATTCATTACTGGACCATCCTCCACACGTTTATCCCGTTACTACTACATCTACCCTCCCCGACTCTGACACCTGGAGGAATTCTCCGTCCCCAGGGTCTCACTTTTGCGGCTCTTTTCTTCCCTCCTTCTCCAAGAACTTTCCGACCTCCCGTGGCCCAAGCCGCCTGTCGATCAACGGTCTCCGTGGGACCTCCCTCGAGCCGCACGGAAGATACAGAGGTCCTCAACATCATCATATCAGAGTCATGGACGGCCATCTTGATGGCTTGCCGTCCTATACTGGCCACGGCTCCGGCTTTTTCCTCGAACCCTTAGATGTGGAACATCTCAACGACCATTTTTCTGGTGCCGTAACTTTGCCAGTATCACACGATGAGTCCTGTATGGATTTGGACTTTGACCATATTGCCTGCAGAGGTCCAGATAGCAACAACCAACATCATCCTGTACCCAACCACAACCACCCTCTCAACCCGAATAACATACCGATGCATGCGCGAAGACACCACAGCCTATCCACGATGCCCGCACTACCCAACTACTTCGATCCCAGAGGCCAGATGCCCTTGGGCTTTGGCTCGGATGCCATCATGTCACCCACGGTACCCATGGGCTTTGGCCTCGAGACGCCCAACTCGAGCCCTCAGATCGAGGACGATAGTACCTCCGCGGCTTGTAGTAGTGTGGACTGCAATCGATGTGTCAGTGAGTGCGGCGCCAGTGAAGCTGGTGATATCTGCACTGACGAAGACTGCGCTCAAGCTTGCGACGATGACGACTGCGATGAAGCTGCTGCGCAATGTACAGACGCAGAGTGTCCAGCTAATGACATTCTCTCTGAGAAGGACAAAGCTGCCGCCGATGTGTTGGCTTCCATAGGGGGGGACACTTTCACCCAGGACAGCATAATGGCTCCATTGATGCCTTCGATGCCCTCGATGTCTTCCCAATACTACGCGGCCCAAAGCCCCTATCAGAGTGGAGGAATCCCAGCAGCATCTCAGAATCATTTCCACCCTGGCGGGATGACCTTGTCGATGGCTCATTCGATGAACATGGGCAACCCCTATCAGAGTAACCCCAACCTCTACAACACTGTCCTCAGCTCTTTTGCCGGCTTTGGGGATCCTGCCACGTCTGCGCCCGCAGATTGGATGGTATTTGGAATGCATCTCAACGAGCATGCGCACGATCAGACAAACTGTATACAGCCTTGCCTTACGGAGAACCGGAACTTGCCAACCAGGTGCCCTCTTCCTCACCTGTCGCATGCTCATCCAGGTGGACTAGACTTATCCTTTTGCATGCCCGACCCGAACTCGTCAGAGTTCATACCTTGCGGTGCTGAGCTCAACGGCGTCGAGGACTGGACTAGCCATTTCCAAGAACAACATGTTGCATCAGAAGGACAGCATCACAACTATCCTCATACAACACAACACTCTTACCCGCCTCTGATGCCGCCGAATCGTCAGCCTCATTTCCTTCCAGGGCCACGGGAAGGTCTTCTTGACCCGACCCATGCTGCCCAAGATAAGGAGTCCACCACCTCTCCTCTAGGGCTCCAGGCGTCCTCGTCTCCGCAACCGTCTCCGGCCACTGCGCAAACTCTGCCCAGCCCTGATAAGACCGGAGCTGAAGTGTTCACTTGCCAATGGGTAATCGCCGGTCAGATTTGTGGTATGAGCTACTCGAACGATGACGCTCTACAGGCGCATTGCAAGGAGAGACATATTGTCAACCTTGGCAAGACGGATGCTGGATACAAATGCTGCTGGGAGGGATGTGCACGTGAAGGTCATTTCACGCAAAAAAGCAAGCTCGAACGTCATCTACAGACACACACCGGCTGTAAGTCACCATCCCACCATCCCACCATCTTCAATGGAGATGTATGCTGACAATACGTCCAGTCAAGCCAGTCAAATGTGAAATTTGTAATACTCCGCTATCCGCCAAACAATCGCTAGCGCAGCACATGCGGATTCATACCGGAGAAAAGCCTTGGAGCTGCAAGTTTCCGGGCTGCAAAGCATCCTTCAAGCAGCAGAGTGCTTTGAGTAAGTGATACCATTATTCTTGGGTCTGTACAATTTCTAACTGGCTTCTAGCAATGCACTCGAGAACTCATACAGGCGAAAAGCCACTCAAGTGTGAGGTTTGTGGCAAGGCGTTTGGCGAGTCTTCCAATTTGTCGAAACACAGAAAGACGCACAATGTGAAGGGAGCATTCAAGTGTGACTTCTGTGACAAGGACTTTCACAGACTCGACCAGAAACGTAGGCATGAGAAGATTCATCGAAAGGACGCGAATGCGCCTAAGGCCGCCAAACCTACTCCGTCTATCAAGAAGACACAGGGCGGTCGAGTCACAAAGGCATCGGATCGAAGAAACAGTAAGTGATTGACTTGGACGAAGTTAATCACATCGTTAGAAGTGTTTATGATTCACGGGGAGGCATTTTTACACCACGGATGGCTTTTTTCCTTTGTCAACGTCTCATGAAATACCCTTACAGGCTCCAAGGTTCCGGACTGGCGTTTACAAGGAGAAATGGATCAGGTCAGGACGGCATAATAGGCTTCGGTGTTCAAGGCGGCGGCGAAAAGTCCAAGGGGCATGGACTTAGTCTTTTTTTTGGTGGGTATTAGGGAAAAGTTCTTGTTTTTTTCCGGGTGATGAAGTCATGGTGGTTGTGGTCAGGACCGATGCGTAGAATTAGTGATGCAGAAATACAGTACGCGTGATGCTTAGTTGTTAAAACTCATTGAGGGTGTTCTCCATGGCTTTTTAGTTGCATCTCGTTGTCACTCAAAGACTTGACTGTGTTGGCAATCTTGACGAGAGCTTACCGCGGCGTTACTAGACGCGAGAGACCTACATCAACCAGCAGATGATCCTTCTGGGAGCACATTTTTCACGGGTGAAGAGGTTTCGTGACTTTGGCATGGGATTCAGGAGAGGACCCTTCACTGGAATCAAGGTGTGTCTATCTACGTTGTGTCTCGAGAGGATCCGCGCCATATAGCACAGCTCGACTTGAGAACTAGGTTTGGGGTGAGAGCAGGTGACAAAAGATCACGTTTGCCAAGTCTCTCTCCTCGGGGGCACGCGAGAGCTTGGAAGGGAAAGAGACTTGTGAACTTACTAACACGCAAATGACATAACCACGCAAGGCCACAGGGACATGTTCTGGCCTTTTTCTGCGTAGGTTTCCGGTTCTCTGCTCGACGCTGCTGGAGACGGGGCTGGAGATGAAGAGTCTTTCTACGTCGTGTTTGTGGGTTTGCTAGTCTCGTCATCGCTTCACCTTGTAATAAGGTGTTACACGGCAGCAGACATGACAGTGGAGGTGATGGGTGTGTAATGTGCCATGGGGCTGAGTCGGATCTTGCACGGGAGGTCCGTACTTCGGGGCCGTGAGTGAGCTTCGTATCCCACTTCGCCTCCTTTCTCCATTCTGACGAGGCAGTTAGGAGAAGAGGTTCTTCGTATTTGCAAAGATGACAGAAATCCACATTTGGCGAGAAGCAATCACCACGAGGAGGAGACAAGGTTTTTCTCCCGTAAACGGTATCTTCCGGGTGTGAGGCCTCAGAGTAAGGTGCCACAGTAGATGTAAGTTTGGAGGCGTTCTGTCAGGTGAGGGGGGAAGGTGGCCGGTTGTAAAGGGACATATCCGACGCGATGAACTATCGGATGAGGGATATGATGTACCTTGGGGGCGTGAAGTGGGAAAAATTTCCTTTCTGCACCCTCCTCCGGTGCTTCGGCGAAATTCTGCGTTGTGGCTTCGTGAGAGGGGAGGGTCACATGGTGATTAATACGCCTTGTTGTGAGGACTGCTTCCGTTGGTTTGAATAGAATCTTGTTTTATTCTTGGCAATGATGCTCTAGACTCGGCTGCGGGTGTTTGTTCGTGATACTCGATGGGCTTGGTGGCGGTTCAGGGGAGCTCACAAGTGCAGAGATAACTGCTGAAGCGGATCATTTGCCATGCATGTCCAGTCGGTCCTATTTCTTCTGGCTGAATTTTTGGATTCTTCGTGTTCATGTCGATCGTAGAGAAGTCTTGGAGTTGAGGCTGCTTTCCTGACTTGATGCGCCTCGCACGATAGCCGCTGCGTACGGGTGGAGATACTCGAACAGAATTCGTGGTCAAAGTCTCGTGCTTTACGAGATTACATGGAACGCACTGAAAGTATCACATGGAGTTCGATTCACTGACAGATCGCGGGATTAGTCTTTCGTGCCCCAGTGTTGTGTCTTGGTCAAATCCACTCCGCCCATACGAAAGCACCGAGAGTAGAGAGAAAGGAACCCTTAGGCAGCTCCAAGATCTAGAATCCCACGACCCATCGACTGTAGACGGTCTCCTTACAGTTTTCTTATCGTTTCTTGTCAGCTGTGAGTTCCGTCAAACTTGGAAGACTTGGCATAGTTTCTCGCCTACGCCTGACGAGATTACAACAAGGTGAGCTTCTAAAGTACCTCCATCGTCCTCGTTACCAAGGTCCTGCCCAACTAAGGTAAGAACTTGTTTGTTACTGCAAATATGACTTATCGTAAGCGCGCGTTGCGTGAAGCCCAGCCTCTCAGATCAGTGTTGCGACTCTCTTTTCTCGGCGCGAAACTTTGGCCATACCTGGGCGTGGGATACTGCCTATCGCGAACTTTGTCTCATTTCGAGGCCCATTATCTATGTTGTCCGCGAAGTACTTCGCATCTCAAGGAACGGGGAGGTCTGGGCAGAGAGGTCGGTTTAAACCGGTCGAACGGCAGAGCATGGAGACCAGTCTCGAGTACGGTACTGCCTGTCTTGCTACAACCTGGTCAACCAGAGTTGCTGGCGAAGATACTGGCAGGCATCATATTTATCGTGAACGATACAGAAGGGTCCCTATAGTGACGGAAAGCACATGGCCACCCTAACATCATGCCATGTTATGAAGTGGTGAAGCCAGTCGTCTTCCAAATTGATTCATGGCCTTGAATTCTCCTAGGAGGCGCTGTCCCCCCGGCATTATCGATCGAATATGATTGCAACCTCGAGTTTGAAAGGTGACTCTGGAGCGGGAAGAAGTGTGGCGGAGGCTCTCAAATCGGTATATCTTATATACTCAACATATTATAATTATGCCATAGTGGGGGCGCAACCCTTCCCTTAGGGATGTTCACAGATATCAAGTAGCCAGGGGGGCAGGGTAATGAAGTGTGAGAACAAGTTTGGGACGGAGACATGAATGACATACACGAGACAGATAACAGGTATGTGTGATAGCGATGGAGGAAGGGACGCTGAGAGGGAGTTGCGGGCTTGACCATGAAAGTTATCTGGCCCATATCTCCGACGAGGTCTTGCACCAATGCTGCGCAGGTGAGAATAGTTGAAGTAAAACCATCACACATCGTCATATATCATTATGAGGAATCCATCACAATGGAAGAAAAAAAAGAAGCAAACTTTTGAAGTCGGGACATCTTTGGGCCCCATCATTGTGGCAGCTCTATGCTACCTCACACCACACACACCCGAGGGAATCCTCTCCCTCCCACCACGCAAGAAAGGAGGGGTGGGAAAGAACAAGAGAGGGGGATTCTTGTGAAGCCCATCCTTTTTCGTTTTTCGCTTGACCAATGTTTTGACCCGTCTTGAGAGAAATCCATTTCGTGTTTTGCAGCACTTGGGGGAGAAATGATAAAAGTGCAAATAAACCCTTAATTTCCCTCCGTGACCATGCAATGCATCATCGAGTAATTCGGGATCCCCGTGTGCCAAAAACGTGTTACGCCTCCGTGACCATTTTCATTGTTCCTCATCCCCAGATCTAACCCAGCAGCGGTCGGTCTAAATTTAAGCAGACTGTTTGGAGAGTCAGTTAGACTGTTCGTCCCTCAAGAGATGGTGCCATTCAGGAACTCGGCCAGGGAACACGAGAGGCAGCGCTGGGGAGAAAATATCTGTGCAAGATCTTTCATCTCATGGTCCGGCCCTGCATCCCATTGCTCCTCTCATGACTCCCTAGCCTCCTTCCGAATGGCAGATATTCCGACGCTACTGACCTTGACGGCGAACTTGCGCTGGGGGAAGTGGGTGGTACGCTTCTTGGCCTTGTCGGTGACGGCGCTGGCCTCCTTCTCGGACAATCTCCGGCGGATGGCACGGGTCTGCTTCGCGCGGAGGTCGAGGGGAGCGTACTTCTTGTTCTTGTAGAACAGGCGGAGCTGGGCGCGTTGCTTGGAGTTGATGACGGTAAGGACGCGAGCGATCGACTTGCGGATGTCGTGGCTGTAGAGCGGAAATTTTCACCGGTCAGTCCTCTTGGTTTCTCTTTTTCGGTCGAAGATTCCTCCAATTGATTTCGTATCAGGACGGGGGGTTCAAACGCACATCTTGTTCAGCTTGCTGCCGGAAGAGGCGATCTTCTGGATGCGGAGCTGACCGAGCTCGGTCTTGAGCTCACCAAGTTGCTTGGTCAAATCATCCTTGTTCTTGCTCCAAAGGGCGACGGCCTTGACCTTTCCGGACGACTGGGACATGATGAATTCTCGTCAGCGAAACGGGTTCTCTTTTCTCCTCTGTGGCTCCTTCGCAAGCAGATCCTGCTCCGCTGTGGTGTTCGCTTCTTCGTCGGGAAGGGGGTAACTCGAGCGCGGGGTGTCGAGGATTCGGCGGAAAAGTTGCGTCGTGCTATTCGGGGATCGCGAATTCCATCAGGGAGAGCAAAAGGGGTTCACTCACCATCTTGACTGATATGGGGGGTGGCGCTGGATATCTGGGTTAGTATCGACACGTCGTGAGAGAGGCTGAGGTGATCGATCGTAAATTTGAAAGTTTGGCAAAAAGCTGTTGCCCTAGTTTGTGCGCAAAAATTCGGGACCCGGCGCGGGGCCTGCTGTGATTGGGTGCATGTGGGCCTTGGGGTTTGGAAGCCGCCGGTCATGAACTGCGCCACAGCAGCACTAGCCACAGTCTGTCACCAGGGGCTGGCTGGAATAGTCAAGAGGGCTTCACTGAGCGAGATGTCAATGATATCGGCATGTAGTTACAACATCGTGTTCCGACTCCTTGGAAGTGTCTTGTCAATTCTGACTATATTAATCCAAAATTTCGAATCTGATCAGTTGAGTATTATGCCACTGGGCATGAGGATATCATAAGTTCAAACTGACTTCCATGCCTTCCTTTTGCTCCTATCGGAAAATGTTTTGAGGCAATAGGCCTCTTCTGGGAAAGGAAAGGGTGCGTACGCAGTATCTGAGACGCAAGCAACTTCTTTCGCCGGTCTCCGGTACATTATTAGCAAATCTTCGAGGCTCTCGACTCTGATGCGACTCTACCCGCACCTGCATTTTTGGTGCAACACCCTTCGGCACTTACATAATCATTCGAGGTGCACGGTCCATGTGACGCCGAGCTCCTCCCTGCTGCATCTGGTCCCTGCCGACAGTCCCAGACACGCGGACATGCCAGAGACCATCGAAAGACAACATCTCGACTTCGAAGACCTACCCACATACAGCAACAACCAAGCCAGACCCAAGTAGCATCGAGGCGTCATGGCTGCGGCTTCAGGAAACACGGGCTGGGCCCAGCTACGGCAACAGGCACGAAGTCTAGAAACACAGGTACGGAATCACTCTGCCCAGAACGTCATCCAGGCTTCCCTGACATCCGGCCTCCACAGACAGAGACGCTATTCCACACCTACTCCCAATTCTCGACGGTATCCGACATTCCGGCAAAGCCCACAGAGGAGGAAAGGACCACAGAAGCAAAGCTACAAGATCTTCTCGAAAAAGTACGCCCAAGCCCTCGTCTGAAGGATCTCGGCTCTCACCTCCTCCGCTGTCTCGAACATCTGTACTAACATGGCCATCAACCCATCAGCGCGAGAATGTCATTTCACAACTATCCCGCCTCCTCGACTCGGAAGCGACTCTCACCTCCTCCGCCCTGAAACAGAACAACCTCGCCCTCCTCCGTGAGAAGCTCGCCGAACACAAGCGCGACCTCGTGCGCCTGCGCAAAACCATATCCGAGGCTCGCGACCGCGCCCACCTTCTTACGAATGTCCGCTCCGACATTGACGAATACCGTGCCAACAACCCCGAAAACGCCGAGGCCGAGTACATGCTCGCCGAGCGCAGCCGTATCGATAACAGTCACAACATGGCCGATAGCGTCTTGTCCCAGGCCTACGCTGTCCAGGACAGCTTCAACATCCAGCGCGAGACGCTCGCCAGCATCAACCGTCGTATCACAATGGCCGCCAGCCAGGTGCCGGGGTTGAATAGTCTAATCAACCGCATCTCGGCCAAGAAGCGCCGCGACGGCATCGTAATGGGCGCCTTCATTGCGTTTTGTTTCCTGATGTTCTGGTGGTTCTTGTAGTAAGCGAAGACCCGGCATGGCTGAAAAGACGTCCCTCGTGTGTTTGTTATGTGTTCTACAAAGCCGTTACGACTGGGGAATTACTGGCATAAAGGAAATGCGAGGCGTTATTGGAATTGTTTTCTTTTGACGTTTTGATCGGATTGGGGTATCTTTGGTGCATATTGTACACTATAAGAACACGAATATCTGTAAGCAAAAGTCAGGTTACATGGGCCTGACTGCTACACAAGGCTGGCTTTCCTAAGCCACCTGGGAAAAAAGCTATTGTCCTCCCATTCAGAATACCTCCTTCTTTCCCTTCGCTGCGTTCTTGACTGGAGCAGTCTCGAGTGCTGCCTTTTCGTGCTTGTTCCACTCGTGGAGGACTAGCTTCATACTCTTCACCAAGCTCTCCCGCTCATCGGGATCACTGGGACCACTGGCAGCCCATCTTATCCTACACAGATTATCTACCAGGTAGACATAGCCTACTTTGCTGTTGAGATATCCAATAGACTCGCTAATCTCGTTGGTGATGCCGCGGGGCACTAAGAAGTACTTGCCCCAGTTGTGCTCGGGGATCTGTTTGCGTAAGTTGCCCATGAACATCTTTACGATCCACGCCTTGAACTTGTTATCCTCGATGTTGAGCTGGAGGACCTGCGTCTTGCCGGGGTTCTTGGCCAGGAGCTCGTGCAGCTCGGGGTTGGCCTCGGGGGAGATGAAGGTCTTTGCCTGTTCGTCGGCCCACTGGCTGCTGTAGACGGCGACGACGGAGACCTTGTCGAGCAGCGTCCGCGTCGTGTCGCGGGTGTTGTTTACGTTCTTGGCGAGGGTGTCGCCGACGAAGTTGGGGAAGAAGAGGGACATGTCGGCCTTGAAGGGCAAGGGGGGCGCGATGAAGGATTTACCCTCGTGGAACCGCATGTTGCGCCAGTCGCGGAAGTAGGGGCGAGCCATCTTTTCCTTGCTATAGGAGGAGGGACATTCCAATTAGCTATCTGCTCTTTCATGTCTCTCTAGGGTATTGACGTTGGGAACTCACAGTTCTTTGCGCCGCACAAGATGCTTGTCGTAGTCGACAAAGTCATCCCTCCTTTCCTTCAGCGGCCTCCTATCCACGCCCGAGTTGTCCTCTGGGTGAGGCGGGTGCGCCATGCCAATGGGGCGCGGCAGAGGCTGTGGCGTGAAGTTGTATACCCGCTTGCCATAAGCTCTCGGGGCATCAATGGCAGATCCGGGGAGGTCAGGTTTCGGAGACTCTACGGGGGCGGCGCCAGGCGCCGGAGTCGGGAGCTGGTCGGCCAGGTATGGTCGGGAAGTGCTCAAGTGCCGTCGCCATGTGCAGACTGTGCAGGAAATGAAGGCCCTTCTAGAGGCGCCGCCCATGGACAGCGCCATTGTCCGTAACGGTGTAGTTGGGACCATTGCGCCTGGTTTGGAATGGTCGACTGCGACGTTTAAGTGTCGAGAAAGGGTCCGGTCATCCCTCTTTCGATGCCTGGTTGCACAACAAAAAAATTCGCGCCACATTATTTCGACGTCCCCCTGTCCTGCAAAGCTGGCGCCACAAGTCTCCAGCCACACTTTGACGTTTGACGAGGGCCCTTGAGCCGCGAGCGATAACAGAGTGGATCGGCAACGCTTCAATGCGGAGACGAGGGGGAAAGAGCCAAGCGCACTGAACCGACGCAGCGGGTCTCGGGCCACCCTGCAGCTTCCCCGAGGGGCATTTCACATTGTGTCATGGGGGAGATTCAATCGACCTTCACTGGCCGAACACCGCGAATAGCCGAGTGTTTGGGGGAAAGGACAATGCCGTCGCCGAGCGGTTCAATCCTCCTGCAAGTGCGTTCGCACATTCCTTGGGGAGTGCCTTCCCTTTTTCTCCTCTTCTCTTAGGTGTAGAAAAGAAAAAAAATCAGAAGTTGGGAATTGGTTTCTCATCCTCTTAACTATTCAAAATTCGAAACAAAATGTTTCTTCAAAGAGGATCGCGCGCCGTCCGGACGCAATGGCACGTCTCCAAGAGCATGGCTCGCCTGGCTGCGGCGAGAGCTGCCGGCGTCTACCCCTCCAGACAGTTCCACGACACACGGCACCTACGGGTTGTGAAGCCTGTCTTACTGGCAGATATTGGCGAAGGTGAGAGAGTTTCCCTGTCTGCTGCTTGTTCCACAGAGACATCTTCTGACAATCCCGGTTTACACAGGCATCGTGGAGTGCGAAATCATACAATGGTTCGTCGAGCCCGGCGCCCGAGTCGAGGAGTTCTCCCCGCTGTGCGAGGTCCAGAGCGACAAGGCGTCTGTGGAGATCACCAGTCGCTTCTCAGGAGTCGTCAAGAAGCTGCACTACGACGCCGGCGACATGGCCAAGGTCGGCAAGCCTTTTGTCGACATTGACATCCAGGGCGGGGCTAAGAAGGAGGACCTGGATGCGCTGACGGCCCCGACGGAAGCGGTACAGGAGAAGCACTTACAAAAGACGCCGGAACCTCCTGTACAGTCCAAGCCACAGCAGGAAGAAAGAACACAAAACCAAACAAGACGGGAATCCGGGGTGGCATCTCAGGATGCGGGCAGTGCAGAGGATACCCCACGGCCAAAGGGGACCCACGCCTCGCTCGCTACACCGGCGGTGCGGCATCTTACCAAGAGCCTAAACGTAGACATTGCCGACATAGACGGCACGGGGAGAGACGGGAGGGTACTGAAAGAGGACGTACAAAACTTTGTCAAGCGCCGCGACGCCGGTGATAGGCCGGCGGGGGCCTCGACTCCCTCCCCGACCGCCTCGGCCCCGCCTTCCGGCGCCGCACAACTCGAAACCCGGGTCCCGCTCACGAATACCCAACAGCAAATGTTGAAGTCCATGACCCGCTCCCTCGCGATCCCCCACTTCCTCTACGCCGACGAGATCGACTTCTCCAGCCTCGTCCAGCTGCGCACCCGCCTCAACCGCGTCCTCGCGACGTCCCCCGAGGTGGGCGGTGGCGAGACCGGCGTCGCGAAGCTCTCCTACCTCCCCTTCATCATCAAAGCCGTCTCGATGGCGCTCTACCAATACCCCATCCTCAACGCGCGCGTCGACCTCGACTCTTCCTCGTCGTCGCCTTCGTCGAAGCCGTCCCTCGTCATGCGCAGCCAACACAACATTGGCGTAGCAATGGACACCCCCGCCGGCCTCCTGGTCCCCGTGATCCACGACGTCGGCTCCCTCAACATCCTCTCCATAGCCTCGGAGCTGACGCGCCTGCAAAAGGCCGCCCTCGCGGGCAAGCTGGCCCCAGCGGACCTCAAGGGCGGGACCATCACCGTCTCCAACATTGGCAATATTGGCGGTACCTATCTCTCACCCGTCATCGTCGATAAAGAGGTCGCGATCCTCGGCATCGGCCGCATGCGCGCCGTGCCGGCGTTCGAGGGGGAGGACTCGGACAGGGTGGTGAGGAAGCACGTTACCAACTTTAGCTGGAGCGCTGACCATCGCGTGGTGGACGGCGCGACCATGGCCCGGGCCGCGGAGGTGGTGCGGCGGGTTGTGGAGGAGCCCGACGTCATGGTCATGCATCTGAGGTGAGCAGCGGCGCGGGAAAACTTGTTCTGGAAGGAATATCGGGGGCAAAGGGAGTAAGCGCGCGTGTTGGGTTGGGTGTATCTATGACTGAAAAGATGCCTGGCCACTTCCCCTGGACGGTTGGGAAGGGTGAGAGAGAGAGAGAGAGAGAGAGAGAGAGAAAGGTACCCTCCGTAAGGGCGCCTTATGGATGACGCCGTTCGGCCGCCGCGTGATGCGGAGTAAGAGGCCGGGGGGGTGCGACAGCGTGGAAGGGTGGGCGGAGGGTTGGATGACTTACAAGACTTCTTGACAAGTAGACTTCTACAGTAATGGTTTGTAGATATGAGGGCGAGCAGGGGTTTTAAGTGGTGGTGCAACCACCTTCATCGGTATGCCAAAAAACGGCTTGCGGGAAAATCAAATCCAAGGGTTCAACAAAACAAAATCATCAGTAATCTGTAAGATTGTGCTGCTGCCCGACGCATGTCTGACAAGCATTTTCCTGTATATGCAACCCGACACCAAGTAAGGCAGTGTACGTGTTGTACGACCGTAAATGCGTCGTGTGTTCAAAGCCGCGCGATATGTACACGGAGTAAGGTATTGATAATGATACCAACATTGGGGACCAGGTCACTGCCCCACAGAGCCAACCATCCCATCCAGGCCAAAACCTCCCCGTGGACACCCCCCCTCTCCTCGGTGTAGGCAAAGTCATATATGACGGCCCAGTCACGACGGACGAACGCTTCTCCACATCCTTACCGAGTTGACACCAGCTCATGCTGAAGAATCCCTGAACGGCAAACGTGAACGATTATGCTCCGTAGTAGATGCAAGTGCCTCGATCCGGCAGGTTGCCCACCACTCCGAGAAGCAGCAAGGATTGCCTGCGCATAAGTACACTACAGGAGGGTAGGAAGGGAGGGGGCAGATTGGGCGCGTTGAGAGGGAAGATGTAAGGTAGTAATGGTCATATTTGATCAGTTTTATCATTGTATAATACTGAACTAAGAGAAGTTGCAAGTGATAGAAAACGCAATAATCTACCCGGCTAGAGCCCGACCATTGAGCATTCTCTGTTTTGCAAACCCCTGCATGGAGTGAGGAAACAAGCGCCAAACCGGCTCCTCGTCACCATTGTCGCCTCCATGGCCAACCCATTAAGCCTGTCGGGCCTTGATATATCGGGTTGCCCATGTGTTGTCCCTCCTCCCTCGTCATTGCATAATTCCATCCTACTGATTGGACTACGCAGAGGATGCCATTCGTGGCGGAGATCCTCGTGACACCCCTTCATCTCCGTACATTGCATGCAGGCTGACTTGTCACAGCCAGCGGTTTTGTAAACCAGATCCCAATGCTAACGCCATGAATATCCAAAAGTAAACGCTCATACTTCTATGCCCGGAACTCCAATATCCCGCAGGATAATTTGTCAAAAAGAAGCAGCCAAAAAAGAACCAATGACAGTACGCCTTCTATAGCCGGTATACAGCTCATGCCTCCTCTTCCATTGCGGCCTTGACGTTGGCCAAGGCGTCGCGCTTGACTTCTTCGAGGGAGCGGCTGACATCGAGGCTGATGACATCGGTCTCGTCGGCCATGGGGGCCTCGAGAGACTGGAACTGACTGCGGACCATGTTGGCGCCCATGTAGTGGTTGGTGGCAGCGCTGCGAGCCGTAACACGCTGGACCAGGACGTTTTCGGAGGCTGACAGGTAGATGAAGTGAATGAGGATCGAGCGGTCGTAGTATCCAGCAACGCGGATCACGTCTCTGTACTTGCGCTTCAGGGCCGAGCAAGTGAGGACGACTCCGTCGGAGCCCGCAGCCAGCTGGTGGCGGGACTCTTCGCGCAGGGCAACAAGCCAGTCCCAACGGTCGGCGTCGGTAAGAGGAATGCCGTTTGCCATCTTTTCGATATTCGCTTGAGGGTGGAACTTTTTCATGCGCGAGTCAGACAGGATTCCGAAATACGAGGCGGAAAGCACCACTTACACTGTCACCCTCAATGTAGGGCAGCTTCAGAGCTTGAGCGAGGTACTCGGCAACAGTCGTCTTGCCACAGCCAGCAGGACCAGTAACTAGCCAGATGTGGTGGTACTTGGTGTCGAGAGATCCGTTGACGTGTACGCCATTGTTTGCGGAGGTCGGAACCCCAGGTACTCTAGGCTGGGTCTGGGACGCAACGGCTTGTTGTACGCCGTTGGTAAGCCCCGAAGGCGACTTGGGAGTTTGTCCACTGACAGGCATCGGGGAGTCGTAGGAAAGCATTGTTTTGCGAAGATCCGTATATAGAAACGGGTCCCGGATATCTTGTTTCGAGGAGAGTAGGTTATGACGCTATCGCGTTATCCGGAGTTGAAAAGGTCGAAGCGTATGGATACTAGTTCAGGTTTTCAACACAATCTAGGAGGTGGGTGTAGGATATTGAAGAAGTTCGAGCGATGGTATATAGTTATATATGTAAGGTTTGTTTTTGCGAGTATGAGAACAGTTCAGAGGCAGGACGAGGAAACGGAGATGAGAGTGTAAGTGCAGGGCGTTCCTGTCTTATAAGTGACACGGACGAGACTTCTCTGGGTCTGGGGGATCGATGAGGTAAAAAATTCCAACGGGGACTCAAGGGGTGCCCTGACGGCAACTAAAACGCCCTGGGGGGAGCGCACAGCAGGTTCCAGTACCTGGACTTCAGCGGACATCTCTCGGGCCAGGGGTAGAGAGAGACCAGGGGGGTGTCACTGACCCGGATCCCAAAGAGCGGCGTCCCCTAGTCGTCATGATGGCCAATGAAAGTGCCGCATACCCCAGCGGGGAGAAATCCGTTACTCCACAAAGTACTGGGGGAGGGTGGTCAAGCCCATATCCGTGGGGGTGCGAACAGAGATGACCGTGTGCTTGCGTCCGATGTTCTTGACTGCTCTCTCCAAGTACGGATACGTTCGCCTTGTACTTTTTCTCCGCGGGATCCAAAAGCCAAGGAGGTCGCATCTGGGGCAGACGTGGGACGAATGGAACGAGATCAAAGTTGCAGCCTGATGGAGGGGAAAGAGCAAATCGTTGGACGAAAGAAATCCGTCGTCGAGTAACAACAGCTGGCTGTTGGAGTACGAGAGTTTGCGACGGGTAACTGCATTCAGTTGTTGGGTTTCTGGCTTTTGAGACTGAGCACCTAGCGATGGCGCGTAATCATTTATTGGGATCATCTTTGGTAGTTGCCGAACCGCTACGAGGTAAGGTAGTAGACGAGCTCAGGCCGGCCCTCCGAGATTGTCCCCTAGGCTATCGTGTAATACCTACTCCTGCCATGAATAAATCTGATGGCTTTTGAACCTCGCTAGGTATTATGCCTGTACCGTGACGACGGAATGGTGAGGTAGATCACCAGCGGCAGCCACCAAGGGCCACAGAGAGGCAGTCTGTTTTTGTGTCCGGTTCGCGAATCCCCTGTGTGTTTCTAGTGTAGGTATTCGCACCACTCGCCCAAGGTAGGAGTACGAAACCACTCTGCGCTGCGCGGTGCGGTGCGATGCGGTACGGTGCGTCGTGTACGTACGGCATCTCAAGGAGTTTTGAGGACCCCGCGACCAGGATGAAAGTGATTGTCCAGGGCAAGCCGCAAACACCGACACCTAAAATAATTGTGCCGTGTGTTAGCACCTGGGGGACAGAGCAGGGTGTGGCGTTAGGTGCACGAGTGGGTAATGCTGGGAAAAGGCAAAGCCGGCGGCGATGACAGGACTTGCATCGCGGGTCCCGGGGAGGGCGGAGGACGGGGCTCGGTCAAGGAAGATGGAAGGCTCCAGTTGGCCAGAGGCAAAGGAGATGACGATGCTAAGGATGAAAAGGGTTCGAGAGGCCTGAATGGCGGGGGGGCAGAAGAAGGGGGAAAATGATGGGCGTGGTCGGGCAGGGTGGTGGGTGGACGAGGGGGTGCCATGGGCGGCGAGGTGTGGACTGTGGAGGAAGCAGCGTGGGGGGACACACTTTTTCTAGAACATGACACTAGGAGATAATTTCCTGAACTGGGTAGGGGCCAGCGAAACGAGCGAAGTCACTCGACACGCAAAGAAAGAAGGAAAAAAAGAAAAAAAGAGACTTTTCCCGGAAAAAACTTATTAAGCCCTCGACCAAATTTCCAGCCTCGGTGGGGGGGAAAGTGTCCGACGACGGGCAGCAATGACAAGCTTTAACCAGAGATGAATATGACTTTTTGTCCAAGCAAACACAGCTGAACACCTATGTTTCTCAGATTTGGAAGTTAGGACTGTCTTGCTCAGTGGGGGTTCATTCGGTGAGTACCTTAAGGTTTAACTTTGAGCATGCGGGTTTTCTCAACATGCTCGAGACGGTAATTGGGATTGGTATCTCGGAACGCCTAGTATCTACCTTAATCATTAATGACCTGCGGATACCTGCATGCTTGCGTGTAACTCCACGTTGTTTCTCTGGAACAAGTGCAATGACTTGTCCGGTTCTCGCCCGACCAGCCTGGTTAGCAGACCTGGTCCCCGTCCGGGACTGGTGATGGACGGGGGAAAGTGCAATAAAGTGTTTTTGGGCCTCGGGCAAGCACCGAGAAGCTAGGATTACATCATACCTTTGGTACGGAGTACCTCAACATGGGCAGCTATGAATACCTGGTACGGAAAGCACTGGATCAACGCGCTTGCTCCCGCTTCATGGCTCTTGCCTTTCCTTTTCCAAATGCACGTGAACAATATTACCTTACGGATAGAAAGAACAACCAAACAGGGGAGAGCCGGCTGACACTTTGCGACCCGAGGACAGTGTCCACCGGGGTTAACTCCTTCGTCCACTCAGATTACCTTGCGAGACGGCAGTAGACGGGCTCTAGGACTCCAACGCGCCAATGCACCTGCATCTCAACTTCCCAGCCGTGCCAGCCCAGTCTCTGCCCCCGTCGCCTTAAAAATCCCGTCATCTACCATGAGCCATGAGGTGCAGTCTGCAGATGCTCTGACTCTGGCGTCCCGTCTGCTCTTTCAAGTTTCGGCTCGGCTGGACTTCCGGGCGGGGCTCACAACGGGCCGGCACCTCCTCAGTCACCAGTGCCCGGGCGCACTACTGTCACTACCTCACACACGACGACTCGAATCCTTGACCCATCGGCTTGGGAAGATGTGGTTTGAAGTCTGGAGTCTGAACACAGTTCCCCTCCCTTTATCACACTGACTCCTTTCCAGCCATTCGGATTGCGTCCTATCATCCTGAGACTCTCTTCTGCGCTCTTCTCTCCCTCCACCATCGGCGCTCTGCCTCTGCGTCCACTCTTTTCCCACACAGCCCACGCTGTTCAGGGCTCCAGTTCCCTCCGCAAGACTCCGCTAGGCCCTGGTCCTGGTCTTGCTGCAACCAGCCGTGGTGCATTACCAGCAGCCAGCTCGTGTGCTCGTCCTGCTGTTGCTGTCCTGCCAATCCTATTTTGCCCGCTTTCTTTTTCGTTGCTCCAACAAGTCTCCAAATTTCTCACCAGTCTTCGACCGCCTTCTCCAAGCCCAAGTGGACCGACCACCGCTCCAAGCAACTCCCCGCCAGCTTCCCCAACACTGAACCCAACCCAACGGTCAGAGGATGCGACACGCGAGCGGACAAGGATGGGCCCTTTCCACAATTCTTTTTTCTTAAAGTCTCGACATACGGAGCACACTACGTAAATACGTGCGTATTTTTGTCCACAAGTACAGATACGAATTGGTACCGCTTACATCGGCTCATCGGCCTCTCACCGCTCTCATCATGAGCCAGCTGACTTATCTCTCGGTGGAGTATGCAGTTTGTTAAAATTGCGTCGCGACTGTAAATGATACATCGGAAACGTCGGCTCGGCTTTTGACCTCAACTCTGGCAAGAAAGCATATTGTGGACGTTACACCAAATAGGCTCACACCGTTGCCATCACAGCCGCTCAATGGCCGGGCGATATCCGTATGGCCCCCGCCCATCTCATCTGCTGCGGGGGATCGATTGCAAGTTTCGTGACACCTGCTTAAAGTCAAACCCCACAACGCCATAGTTTTATGACAAGGGATGAGAAGGACTTGGCGATTCTTGCAATTGTCTGGAGTCTCTGGACACAGTAATCGTGGTTCGATTATGAAGTTGGACAACCCATCTACTCATATTTGCGTAAAGCGAGAAGATGGACTACTGATGTGAAATACTCATTGCCCAGTTCGTCCTCGTCTAACTGCCTTCTCATGGTTGTTTGCCATCAATCGAATACCAGTATGATCCTCGGGCACCACCTTCAGTCAAATCAAACTTACGATAGCCTGCGGCAACCCCTCGATTATTTTCCAACCCGTGATGCAGAGAGGCAACGAGCGCGTTCACCGATCTTGTATCGTCGTCGCGCAGGATAGAGGCTCATGCAAGGCATTGTAGGTCAGGCAGACCGCTCCCGACGAAGCCTGAACGAGGGATAGATGCATTGCGCGCAAGATTCCTGATGCCACGCACCGCAAGCACGACTATCCCCATTGGCACTAAAGCAACTGCGAGAAGAGGAGTGAAACTCGAATACTACTGCTCGCCCAAGCCACGGCGGCACGGTGGATGTTCCCCGGCGACCGCCCTCGGCCTGAGCATCCATGTCACCGTGGTTGGTTTCAAGGGCTCTTAAACTGACCTGCAGCATTGCTCGCTCCGAGACGCCAAGGCAAATGATCCGAACGCTCGGAATCCCCGGGATCTTTCCTAACTACCCCGGTCGAGAACTCGGCGCAATTCGAAGTGGTACGCAGCACCAGTCGGCTCCTCTTCCCGGCCGAGTCGACAAGCTTCTTCCCTCTGTGGATCCGCCCACATCCGTCGCACAGCAGACGCAACGTTAGCGACATCCTTGCGAATCTCGAAAGAAACGTGTTGCGAATTTGAACGACTGGTCGCACAGCATGGCCACTGGGACGCCTGATCAAAGACGTTGCCGATTTGCCTGTCATGATCGCCCCAAAGACACGTTCGATCCTCCACCAATGCCTGCTTCAGGTACCTTGTGTACCGGTACCTATGAGAAGAGCATGCATCTCGGCCGCGAGCTTCAGGACACGTCAAAGGTCGCTATGCTGACACTGCGTTTGCAACTTTGACATTGGTGGCTTGGTTTACCGAATGCTACGTTCTAGATAGGAGGAAGTCGACCAACTTGTCCATCAGCCTATGCGACGACGGCTTCATATTGCGCTTCCTGCAACATCCCGTCCGGCCGTCCAAGATCCTTGCCTACGTCGTGGTAGAGGGATGAATAATAAGCGGCGTGGCGGCGCCATCACTCAATGATACCCTCTCAAAGCCGCTCGTGCTACACCCTCAGGCATCTCGTTTGCACTGCTTGACAGGAAAACATAGAGGATGACCATGGTTGAGCGAAGACATGATGATTCATGTCAGATATGATGGCGAGAACCAGGTTTTGAACGAAGCGCAAGCAACCATCAAGACGTGCTCATTGCAGCTTGCCAATGCTGCCTGCCTGCTCATGCACGAGCAAGGAGATCACGTGAAGTGTTCCATTGGCTCTTGTAGCATGCATGCAACGACATTACAGTTGACAGCCACGATCTGCAGATGTTAGGCTCAGGTGCAGACTGTAAGCCGGATCCTCTCGGTGAGCAGAACGGTATACGGGAGGAGTCGGCATTGCTCCGTCAGTAATGAACCGGGTCGTTGGTGGTCTGTCGCTAGGCAGGCCACATCTACCATGACTAACTGACCACCCCTCCGACTATTGTAGTAAGGCATGGTAAGTTGTCCATCTGAACTACAAGAGGACTGTTCTGCTTTGCGAACAATGGTTGCGTGTCTTTCCATAAGCCCAATCGGTTGCTTTCTTGGACGTGCGCTCCCAACCAGCAATACTTTTGTGACAGCTCATAGATTTTGAGATTTAGGTTTTCTTAATTTTAAAGTCAAAGCTTGAGTAAAAATTTCAGGGTTAAAAGCCTCAGATGCGAGGCAAAAGGTAAGTAGGCCTGGCAAGCAAACGGATCAGTTGCTGCGCTTGTCTTCTGGGAATCTCCCTTTGTAACTATCGTGGCTCAACGACAGACTGCCAGGCGTCTCTCGGGAAATGGGACTCTATCATTTTGCAATTAGCCAACTAAAAATGTTGGTATTGAGACCGACTTCGAGTTGGCGATTTGCTCCTAGCGGAGCTTCATATGGATGCCAGTCGCATTTATAAGCCAACGCTAACCGCGACCAGCCGGGCTCTCTGCTTTGAACAGGCGCTACCCCAGATGTTTGTGAGGTTGGAAACTCGGACTGAAATCACAGCAAATCATGTCTCCAGGTGTAGTGGAATATTCTGTGGGAATAACTTCTGATTTCTTTCCTCGCTTGCCCCTCCTTCTCTATTGGTTGTAGTTTTGTAAATAAATCAGTTGCTTCGTCGACAAAAGTACCAGTATTGCCCCTCATTGTGGCTGAAGCTCCAACGTCGTCGTCTGCGTCCAAGCCTGTTTGGGGAGGTGCAAATAATGCCCATGACTTTTGAGATTATCTACAGACTGGGGAAATATTTTCACAGGTCTCATAGACAGCAGGAGTGGCTTACAACAAGATAGCCAATCGTCACAGCCAAATGAGATTCAAGCCACGGAGCGCCACAGTTAACTTGCTTGCGGCCTGTGCGTAGATGACCTCTTTCCCTGTTCAAATAATCGACCTTCGTCTACGGCTTGTGTGGCTCTTCCCCGCTGCTGGCGGCGCCTGAACACAGTTGTCGTCTGCTCATCCACTGCACCTGCCTCATCAGTGACCAATGACCAGTGCGGCACCATCTCGACTCCTCATGCGGGTTTCATCCATTTCCGCCCTCCAAAGGCTGACATCTTTGCGAGCTTCTTCTTCCTTAATTCACACTTCTCCCAAGACTTTGAGACCTAGAAATCACTTCCCTTTGCTTGCGAAACCCTGCCGGCAGAGATTTTCCACAATGAACGCTCAGGAGCTCAAGCACTACCTGGCTGACGCGCCGCCGAGCGTCGTCCGTTTGGAGATTGAGAAGCACTTTGAACCCCTCACCGACAAGCAGAAGCGCTATGCGCATTTCATCAGCAAGTAAGAAACCCATCATAATGTCATATCATCTTGGTGCCCGCCATGCCAAGCTTTTATGGGGGACCAGAAGCTAAGAGATATGTTAGAGCCTCGTTTGCGGGAACCCGTATTGTGCTCAGACAACTTTCCCCAGAGTCAGAGCCCATCTACGACTTCATCATTGCCTTACACAAGAGCAGTGGTGGTGACTGGAATAGCCTTGCTAAGAAGGCTGGTATCGACGAGAGCCAATTGACCCACTTCCTGGAGTATGCTGCCCAATTCTTGGGCAACAATGGCAACTACAAGAGCTTCGGCGACGCCAAGTTCATCCCTAGAGCCGATGAGAAGACTTTCGCGGCTCTTGCTGCCGCCTCTCCTGAAGCTGAGCATTTTTACAAGGCGACCAACGGTGCCATCTTCAGCTCTGACAAGCAGGCGCTGATGCACCTCGGATTCCCTGACAAGGGTCACATGACTACCTACTACCCCGACTCCCCTCACATTACTCAAGAGGAGATCGAGGCCGTGTCCGCATGGATGGAGAAGAAGGGCCTTCTCCCCGAGAACAACCGTCTCCGCAAGACCAAGGAGGGCACTTTCGAGATTCTCATTGCCTCGGCCGTTACGAGTGTTCCCGCTGAGGGTGGTGACATCGGTAAAGAGACCGAGTTCCAGGTTGAGGATGGCCTTCTCAAGGGCAAGACGATCAAGGTGGTATACGGAGACTATGCTGCAGAGATGAAGGCCATTTCCGAGTATATCACGAAGGCGCAGGAGAACAGCGACAATGAGAACCAAGCAAAGATGCACGAGGCCTACGCAAAGTCTTTCTCGTCTGGCTCTCTCCTCGCGTTCAAGGACAGCCAGAGATTCTGGATCAGAGACAAGGGCCCCATGGTTGAGTCCAACATTGGTTTCATCGAGACCTACAGAGACCCCGCTGGTATTCGCGGCGAGTGGGAAGGCTTTGCGTCTGTGGTCAACCTCGAGCGTACCCGTGCTTTCGGCGCTCTCGTCTCCGCTGCGCCCGAATTGATTCCCCTTCTCCCGTGGAGCAAGGACTTCGAAAAGGACAAGTTCCTGTCGCCTGACTTCACATCACTCGAGGTTTTGACCTTTGCCGGATCTGGTATTCCTGCTGGAATCAACATTCCCAACTACGATGATATTAGGCAGACTGAGGGCTTCAAGAACGTTTCTCTTGGCAACGTCCTCAGCGCCAAGGCTCCCAACGAGAAGATCCCCTTCATCTCCGACGCCGACCTGGAGTTGTACCACAAGTACAGGGACCCTGCTTTTGAGGTGCAGGTTGGCCTTCACGAGTTGACTGGTCACGGCTGCGGAAAGCTTCTTCAGGAGACCTCTCCCGGAACCTACAACTTTGATGAGAAGAACCCTCCTGTCAGCCCCCTGACTAACAAGCCAGTGACCACATGGTACAAGCCTGGACAGACATGGGGATCTGTATTCGGCAGTCTTGCTGCCTCGTACGAGGAGTGCCGTGCTGAGCTTGTCGCTATGTACCTTGGGTATGTATCTTTCGACTGCCTATACAGAAACCTCTGGCTAATCTGGACCTAGATGCGAGTTCCCTGTTCTCAAGATCTTCGGCTTCGGCGACGGAAGCACCGATATCAGCAACGAGGCCGGCAACGTCTTGTACGCTGCTTACCTCCAGATGGCCCGCGCCGGTCTCGTGTCCTTGGAGATGTGGGATCCCAAGAGCCAAAAATGGGGCCAAGCGCATTCACAGGCTCGCTTCTCTATCCTGCAGGTTGGTGACAATGACGTACGTGTATGAATGCCCAAATGCTGACTACCACTTTTCACAGTGCTTCCTCCAGGCTGGCGATGACTTCTGCAAGCTGGAGTACAAGAAGGATGATCTATCCGACTTGGAGATCAAGCTTGACCGTTCAAAGATTCTGACCACTGGTCGTGACGGTAAGTTATCCCGAATCTCTCGACGCGCACTTTGAAATAGATCAAGGCTGACTAACATCCACAGCCGTTGGAAAGTACCTCCAGAAGCTTCACGTGTACAAGGCCACCGCCGACGTCGAGAACGGCACCGCCTTCTACAAGGAGATGACCAACGTCGACATGGACTTCTGGGGTACCAAGGCCAGAAACGTCGTCCTGGCCAACAAGCAGCCCCGCAAGGTTTTCGTCCAGGCCAACACCTACCTCGACGAGGCGACTGGCAAGATCAGCGTCAAGCACTACGAGGCATCCCCGGCAGGTATCATCCAGAGCTGGGTCGACCGTGACTTGTGACTGAGCCCAAAGTCCGAGACTGCCAAACTGTAAAGAGCCTGGCCATGAAGAGATAAAAGGGGGTCCTGCATCAACCATAATAAACCTTGTAATACTATGCTCCTAAAAGGGGCCAAAACATTTAAGTTTCAGAGACGATCCGTACTTTGTGAAGCCTAGTGCGTACATGTCTGAACATCTCGAGCTCTTTCCCGAGGTCTGTTTCTTCGTGTCCCGACATCTTTCACTTTAGTCATTTCAAGTCGAGAAAGTTTGGTTTATGGTTCATGTCAATATTGTCATTCCCTCGCAAGGGGGGAGGCACGTCGTCGTTGGACCGAATGCGTTATCTTCTTTGTGTGTTGGATTTGTGAAGAACCTCATTACAGACGCCAAATGTGACCGATGCCGTCGACTTCCAAATGCAATTGGCAAAACCAGCCCAGCCCGTGTAGCCATAAGATCTTCCGTCGTCTACAACAACAACATCATTCCTTAACCGTTGCGAACTGGGCGAAAAAATGTGTGGTTCTTCTTTTTTTGAATCCCAATTGACTTTGCCCCTTCCTTTTTCCACGGGTCCTCTCATGTCCACATCATCCGGAAGCCTTGATTTTTTGAAACGACCAGCGACGAAGAGAGCAAACCCCCGAAAAGCCCACACGCCAAACGAAACCTCCCTCTCAACAGCTTTTGGTGTGAAAAAACTGTTTACCAGGTCATCTCGTGGGGCTTGTCGCCCTTGCGCAGGCTGAAGGAACTCGCCAGGTAGGAGGCGAGCATGTCGACCTTCTTGATGTTGGCGAGCAGGGCCTTGTCGACGGCCTTCTGGTCGGCGGCACGGCTGCTGTTGATCTCCTTCTTCTGTAGTCACACATATGCTGTCAGTCTCCCATCCTCTCGTGTCCAATCTGAATCTGGGTCTTTCCAGAGGATGTATAATCGTACCTGGGGCTTCTCTCCCTGCTTGAAGAAGGCGTCCTCGCCAGTCTGCTTCTTGGCCTTGTCGGCGGTGAAGTACTTGGGTGCGGAGATCTCCTCAATTTTCTTGGACTCAACGCCGGAGACGTCGACCTTCTGGGATGTAGCGATGACGTAGCGGGAGTTGACGCGGCGGAGGGGAACGCCGTTGATCTTGAAGGGGCCGGTAACGAGAAGGACACCCTGGTCGAGGGTCTTCAGGAGAACGACGCGCTTGCCGCGGAAGCGGCCAGCGAGGAGGATCAGGATGGTACCGGGCTGGAGGGTCTGGCGGGGAGCCCAGGGGCGGACGGCCTTGCGGACCTAGTGACAATCGTCGTCAGTATCGCTGTCGCCCAATTCATGATTTTTTGTGCGTGTTGCTTGAAATTCGACATTTGTGATAAAGGGGGATATGTCATTCCGTAGATCACGAGCGTCTTCCTCCTCCATCACTCCAAATCATTTTGTGTGCGTTGGTCGAATTGCGAATGGTGGTGCCGTTATTGATCTGTGGTTTCCTTCGTGGTTTCTCTTGGCTCTCCGACTTTGGGGCTCTTGAAGTTTTGCGTCGTAATTCGAGAAAAATGTTGCGCTCGCTTTGTCGTGTCCTCCCAATTACATCCCATGACCGACTCGTGACCGCTCGAAATGACATTCCCTCGTCCCATCGCAAATGCGCAAAATTCCAAAACAGCGCCAGCACGCAGATATAGTAAACTCACCTTCTTGGCCTCGGGCTCATCGTCGGCGTTGTACCACTTCTGCGCCTTCTGGGAGGGGGCGGGGACGACCCGAGTCGACGAGCCGAACTTCTTGGTCGTGGATTCCGTCTTCGCCGACATGGTTGCTCTCGGTCCTCGTGGAGGGCTGTTGTGATTAGCGGAGAATGGGGATCGTGAACGAAAAAGAAGGAAGTGGTTGATCTCGTTCGAGAGGCTTTGGTTGTTGGGGTCGGGTCGGCGGGAAATCGATTTCTCAGAAAATGTCTAGCGAGTGTGGGCGGCGGGTGTGGAAGGCAAGCCCTCCGCTAGTCCGTATTAGGCAGGGTGCATGCGGCAGAAACCTCTGCACCCTCTGCAGGCGCGGGCGGTGAGCCAGGGCCCCTTCCCATACCGACAATTTCTAACGGGAGATTGTGCGCCCGATTTTCCGGGGCCAGACCTCCAGGACCCACTGATCGGTCTGCCATTCCCAGCTCAGGGCCGCAGTCGGATCATGGATGTCACTGGACGTCAACAAACTCAAGTCAGCAGCAGCTCGCAGTTCTGCTAATCCCTGGGTGCTAGGACAATTGCTTTGTCTTTTGAAAATTGTTCTACTCTCCCAAGATTATCAATCCGATGTTTCCTCGACCCTGTAGACCTCATTCTTGAATACATAATGAATGTATTCGTACTCGAAAGACTACGTGAAAAGGGCAACACAGCGCTGGCGGTAGTTGCATTTCGTCATACGCATTGACCACGTGCTGATAAGATAAAGCTTCGGAACATGCTAGACCTCACCGAAAGTGCGAGAATGTACTTGTGAAATCTTCCGAGTTCGCGACTTGACAACACTAGGGGGTTTGCTCAAAGGATATTTGAGGCCGTGTACCTGTCTTTCTTTCATCTGTTGTGATAGTTTCAGATTGGGACGACTTTTTGCAACACCTGGCATCGACCAGCAGACACAATGCAAGCCAGAAGACATCTCATCTCATCAGCCCGGCGCATTGTCGGGTCATCGTCACCGAGACCTACACGACTAATCTCAAGAGCCATCATCAACGAATCTGCCGCACTCAGAAGCAGTAGCAATCTTTTACCAACGATAACCATCAGGAATTATGCAAATGGAAGACCTCACCCCCCAGGCGGTACACACCGCATGGACATGGGTGGCGAGCCAGAGAAACCGACACTCGAACAATTCGGAATCGACCTCACAGCCAAGGCCAAGGATGGAAAGCTCGACCCAGTCATTGGACGTGATGCTGAAATCCAACGAACGATCCAGATTCTATCACGGCGGACCAAGAACAATCCCGTCGTGATTGGAAAAGCCGGCACCGGCAAGACAGCTATCCTCGAAGGCCTTGCACTGAGAATCGTGCGTGGCGACGTCCCGGAGAGCATCAAGAACAAGCGTGTCATTGCCCTAGACCTGGGCTCGCTGATTGCGGGCGCGAAGTTCAGGGGAGACTTTGAGGAGAGACTGAAAAAGGTCTTGACCGAGGTCCAGCAGGCAGAGGGCGAAGTCATTCTCTTCATCGATGAGCTGCACACGTTGCTCGGCCTCGGCAAGGCCGAAGGATCGATCGATGCGAGCAACTTGCTGAAGCCAGCACTTGCGCGTGGTGAGCTCCAGTGCTGTGGTGCCACCACGTTGGAGGAGTACCGCCTCATCGAAAAGGATGTTGCCCTTGCCCGGAGATTCCAACCCATCATCGTCAACGAACCCACCGTCCAAGACACAGTCAGCATCCTGCGCGGTATCAAAGACAAGTACGAAGTCCACCACGGTGTTCGCATCACTGATGGTGCCCTGGTGGCAGCCGCTACCTATTCTAACCGCTACATCACCGACCGATTCTTGCCCGACAAGGCAATTGACCTGATGGACGAGGCCGCCAGTCATCTCAAGCTCGAGCACGAATCGAAACCTGAAGATATCATGGCCCTCGACCAGAAGATCATGACCATTCAAATCGAACTTGAAAGTTTGCGCAAGGAAAAGGACGTAGCCAGCCAAGAGCGTCGCGAGAAGTTGCAGACGGACCTGAAGAAGTATGAAGAGGAGATTGCCGAGCTTACCAAGCGCTGGGAAGCGGAACGCGGCGAGATCGAGGCAGTCAAGAAGACTCAAGAGGACCTCGACAAGGCCAGGATCGAGCTGGACCAGGCACAGAGAGAAGGAAACTTCGGCCGCGCCTCTGAGTTGAGGTACAGCGTCATCCCCGCCTTGGAACAAAAGATTCCTAAGGACGGCGAAAAGTCAGACGGTAGCCTCGTTCACGATGCTGTCACTGCGGACGACATCGCAGCAGTTGTCTCAAAGGTGACCGGCATTCCCATTTCCAAGCTCACCTCCGGCCACATTGAGAAACTCGTGCACATGGAAGACTCCCTTCGCGAGGCAGTCCGCGGCCAAGATGAGGCAATTAAGGCCGTCTCCAACGCCGTGCGCCTACAGCGTGCCGGCCTCAGCGGCGAGAACAGACCGCTCGCGTCCTTCTTCTTCCTTGGACCGACCGGTGTCGGAAAGACGGAGCTCTGCAAGAAGCTCGCGGGCTTCCTCTTCTCCACCGAGTCGGCCGTCGTCCGCTTCGACATGAGCGAGTTCCAGGAGAAGCACACCATCTCCCGCCTCATCGGAGCGCCCTCCGGCTACGTGGGCTACGAGGACGCCGGCCAGCTTACCGAGGCCGTCCGCCGCAAGCCGTACGCCGTCCTCCTCTTTGACGAGTTCGAAAAGGCCCACCGCGATATCTCGGCCCTCCTCCTCCAAGTCCTCGACGAGGGCTACCTCACTGACGCACAGGGTCACAAGGTCGACTTCCGCAACACTATCATCGTGCTGACGTCCAACCTCGGCGCAGACATCCTCGTCGGCGCGGACCCCATCCACCCGTACAAGGAGACGGCCGACGGCGAGATCGACCCTTCCATCCGCAAGGCCGTCATGGACGTCGTCGCCGCAAACTACCCGCCAGAGTTCCTCAACCGTATCGACTCCTTCATCGTCTTCAAGCGCCTCGCCCTCGCTGCCCTTCGGGACATTGTCGACATCCGCCTGCGCGAGCTGCAGCAGCGTCTCGACGACAAGCGCATCATCCTCGACGTCGGCGGCGAGGTGCGCGACTGGCTCGCGGAGCGCGGCTACGACCCCAAGTTTGGCGCGAGGCCGCTCAACCGCCTCATCACCAACGAGATTGGCAATGGGCTCGCGGACAAGATCATCCGCGGCGAGTTGCGCTCTGGCGAGACGGCTGTGGTTAGCATCAAGGAGGACAATTCGGGCCTCGAAGTTGCGGCTCAGCCAAAGGCATAAAAAAACCATTCTAATCTCGACATGTACGACTACTTGTTTTGAGTCATTGTTTAGGAGCACGGAGTACATGGTTGGAAAAGGCTGGATTCCCCTCTCATGAAAGTGTTAGCCAAGTAGCACATGTAGCATTGTCAAAACGCTCTGTAAAACTGTAAAACAAGAAATAGACTGTAGTTATATATATATATATATAATACTCATGTATTCTTTCCCACCGACAAAGCTCGTTTCGATCATAGTCACCTAGTGAGCCTGTGCACTTATACCCACCTTTCACAAGTAGCCATTTGTCCTCTTGAGTTGCATCTGCCTCCATCCCGTCCCTGTGACGTCGAGTACCCACAACCACGCGTCCAAGACAGCATTCCACAAAGGGGCTCTGCGGTCGCAGAACGGTTGAACTGCACCCTTCAAGAGGGGGCTAAAATTTTGGGGCTGAGGATGCCGCGAGACATTTCACAAAGGGGCCTGTCAAGAAATGGAGGGGTTGGGACGGCCGGTTAAGAACAAAAAAAAAAGAGAAAGGTCATCAAACATCCCGTGGCACCGTGAAACTTTGTGAGAAAAAAGGAAGACAAGTCTATAACGATTCTGTCCCAACTCTCAAGGCTAGAACTACCTGGAACCCCCTCCATACCTAACAACAAAGACGACAAACTGGAGGAAAGCAGGGCGAACCACCCCTCATAGGGGGACTAACCAGTCGTGAAGAAAATCGTTAAGCCCATGTCTCATCCCTTCCCCTACCGAGAATGGTAGGCAAACCAGACCACCAAAAGAGCAGAAAACACCGTATTCATGGAATTGCGCGGAGGCGAGAAAGCCAGGGTGTTCATGAGTTGGCTTCTCCGTCACATTTAGACGGAGAAACGTATAGAGTTGCTGCGTGAGGACTGTACAGATTTCCCAACCCAAGACGCCCCCTTTCTTCCAAAACGAAACCTGTCCTTTTGAGACCAGAATGTGTGTGCTTGCTGCGTCGAGAGAATGCCAATGGAGTGTGGCTCACGTGATGTCAGGGACCACCATGGGGAGAAGGGGATGGATGGACGAGAAAATGCGGAAAATGAGTTATGGACTATTCGATTGCCTTGTGACCGGTAGCTTTGCGAATTACAACTGTACCAGAGGGATGACGTGAAAGAGTAGCAGAAGAGAGGTAGTCCGTTCGGCTTCTCTTCGCGGCATTTACTGGTGACCCGCCTTGCGCAGGGTGGTGGCAAGCCACTCGAGACCCTCGTAGAGACCATCACCGGAGGTGGCGCAGGTGGACTGGATGTACTATTGGAGGGATCAGTATGGAAATCGCATTTCGTCGTGTTCGAGGGAAAACATACCCAGGCGCGTTGTCTCAGGGAGTGGAGGCCAAGCTTGTCTGTGATCTCGGCGGCGTTCATGGCGTTCTGTGGGAGAAAAGGTCAGTCGCATGCTTCAAATTGATGAAGCCTCAAATAGCAACGAGGGAGGGGGAGGGGGGGATGGCGGGGTAACATACGGGCAAATCCTGCTTGTTGGCGAAGACCAGGAGAATGGCATCGCGCAGCTCATCCTCGTTGAGCATGCGCTGGAGCTCCTCACGGGCCTCGACGATACGGTCGCGATCGTTGCTGTCGACGACGAAGATGATACCCTGGGTGTTCTGGAAGTAATGTCTCCACAGAGGACGAATCTTGTCCTGACCACCGACATCCCACACGGTGAACTGAATGTTCTTGTACTCGACAGTCTCGACGTTGAAACCTGGAAGGAGATCCGATGTTAGCACGCCATTCGCCTCCTCGATGCATTGACCTATCGACAGCGGGGGCGCGAGATTTGATGATGACACGACGCTGGTTAGGGTATTAAGGGGCGGTGCGTACCAATGGTGGGAATGGTCGTGACGATTTCACCGAGCTTGAGCTTGTAGAGAATGGTAGTCTTTCCGGCGGCGTCAAGACCGACCATCAGAATTCTCATCTCCTTCTTTCCCCAAAGCTTGTCGAAGATCTTGGAAAATGCGAGACCCATGGTTGCGGTTCGGGCTGTGATGAACGTCTAAGTGTCGGTTGCGTTGGGTAGGAAGAAGTAATCTGTTGAGGAGCGACAGTGTAAGCAAGCGCGCAATTGATGAAATTAAATTAAATGGTAGTGACGTCGAGAGGAGATGCGGGCGGGATATAAAGCAAAGTAGAGAAGACTCCGAAAGGACAGATCGTAACGGAGGCGGGCAGGATCGGGTCACTGACCAAAGTCTGCCTGGGCGCTGAGCGAAGGCAAGGTGTTGCGATGATGATCTGGTCAAGGTTGAAGTTGAGAACCAGGCTGCCGCAATTCGCAAATGGAGGAGAGGAGATAGCGGGATAGAAGTGGATGTGGACAGGCGACGTGGAGGGAGGGAGGGATAGGGATATTGGATTGGGTTGGGGGGCGTGTGGTGGGCTGCTCTGCCTTTCTACTGTATCCTGAGGTGTCGTGTCCAGACCAGACCGATGCAGGCACGCGCGCAAGAGCAACTTTGGCCGAGGGGGTGGGAAAGGGGACTGAGGGGATGGAGACCCGACTGAAGATGACACAGAGGCTGGAAAGAAAGGGACGGAGTCGAAACAAAAACAGGTGATGGCAAATAGTAGAGTAGTGACTTACTTTCTTCACGACGTCCCTCTGCGACGGGAGACTGGAGACGAGTGGTGGTGGTGGTTTTTTTTTGTCGTGGGTGTGATTGTCGGTGAAGGGGGGGAGACAGTCCAAGTGTCAAGAGGATTAGTTTAGGTAGGTGGAATAGAGGCGAGCAGAGGGGGTGGGCTTTGCTAAGATAATCTTCGGCTTGGCGAGGTTGGTGGTGATTTTTAGAAAGGCCATGTTTTTCAAACTCTGTGTCCCCACTTTCTACTCGACCACCACTACAAACGGACGCCACCCTGTGGCCCGCCGAGGTACCTTCCCTAGCAAGCTGCTGTCTGGCGATACCTGCCCTTGGGATTCCTAAAACCACCCACGCTGTCATGTTTATAAAGGTACCTTAGGTTGCGTGCTGAGGGCCCAAGTCAGGCTGGGCACGGGCCATGGGGACACTTGAAGCTACCTGTCCCTCCATGTTGGCCACCCCTTTCTAGCGTTGTCAACCGCTAAAGGGCCCTTCTGAAGCACAAAGTACCCGCATCACGTGCAGGGATCGGCTTCCATGCACCGTGAGAAACAAGGTCGGAAAAGCATCGGTCCATTACGTCTGACCCTGAGCTAGACTTCTTTCGGCTCAGCCTCAAAGTCCAACCAGACGTCGCCAAAGTGTCCAGACTCAGGGTACAGGGATCACTCTCCAGGAACCGATCTGGAGAACAGCCTGGACACAAGCCAACGTCGCTCCTTTTTTCCCCGGCCCTGACCTCAATCGATTTCAGAGAAGCTCGACTCTGCTGCGCCTGCCGACCAGCTGAGTCTGACGTCTGTATTTTTTTCGACCTTCCTATCGGCCACGACGGAGAGCTCTTACACCCTTCCAAAGTGAAGACAAATAATAGGAAGCTCCCGCCATGTTCTTCCCTTCAGTCGCCAAGCTGCTCCTCGCAGCTGGCTTCGTCCACTCGGCCCTGGCCCACAACATCCAGCTGCCCGCCCACGGCCGCGAGTGCTTCCACGAGTCGCTGCACCGCGATGACAAGATGACCGTCACCTTCCAAGTCGGCGACCGCGAGTTTGGCAGCGCCGGCAACCTGGACATTGACTTCTGGGTATGATTCTAGCTCCAGCCGAACCCCCCACCAAACCCCCCTTTCGAATCGTGTACTTTGCGCGCAATTGCATCATGACTTAGGCACCGAGACTGACTGTTGATTTCCCACGACCACAGATTACGAACCCTCAGGGCCAGTACGAGACCTTTGACAAGAGTGTCTCCAACGGCGACTTCTCCTTCGACGCGAAGCACGACGGCAAGTACACCTACTGCTTCGGAAACGAGCACTGGGGCGCCCACAGCAAGGAGGTCTCATTCAACGTCCACGGCATTGTCTATGTTAGCGAGACCGACGTCCCCGCCGATCCCCTCGAAGTTGAAGGTAAGGAGCGAGCACAATGGGTTATCAGTGGATTCTGGACTTTTCCTAACAATTCATTATAGTCCGCCACCTTTCCGAGCTCCTCGCCCAGGTCAAGGATGAGCAGTCCTACATTGTCCTTCGCGAGCGCACTCACCGTAATACCGCCGAGAGCACCAACAGCAGAGTCAAGTGGTGGAACCTGTTCGTCATTGGCCTTGTCGTCGGAGAGTCCGTCTTCCAGGTGTGGTGGCTTCGTAGATTCTTCGAGGTCAAGAGGGTGGTTTAAAAATAAACAAGAAAGAAGGCGTCGTCATTTTTCGTTTTCCGGATACCCGTGCTGGGGACGACACGTCGAAGGTGCACAAATAGGGCTGGGGATTTCAGCTTAGCAGGATGCTCTTCGAGGCCCAACGCCAACAACATCAACATCCCTGGAGATGAGAGATTGAGATGTATAGTGTATCAGAGATCACATGAATGACGCGAAGGATTCTGGAAATGAAGCAAGGGCTTGACTTTTTTGGGCCATGGATACAATACTCGCGGGCCTTTGAGTGCCTTTCACGATGACACTCCTCACATTAGGAGCAAAGGAAGCAGATGACATGGATACATCTAAATACGATGGTCTTTTGCTTTCAGCCCGGCAAGACCATTGACATTGTCTCAGCGCAACGACTGGTGTCACAACATACAGACACGAAGCCGGAAGCGGCCAGCATTATCTGTGCGTTCTATGTAGGAAATACTGAAGCTTTCATCCCGGACGTCAAGGCCACCAGAAGCCATCACACATGATAATACAACACTCCCAGTACAAAAGGCACAGTCACACTTGGCTTCTCCAGGAATGCTAGTAGGCTACCACAGACAAGCTCGATTTCACCACCGTCAGCCCAGAAGCCAGCATCCCGTTGCAACACTTGTCTCGACAATGACACTAAGATTCGTTTGCTGCGCCGCCACAAGTCAGACCGAAGCGGCGAGATAGGATTGTGACTGACCGGCTGCCTAGCGATAGCTCCAACAGCTAAGCAGGCTCTACTTTCCGTGGCATGAAGTTCACATTTGGCCTTTTTACGCTGTCAAGGGGGCATTCACTTCACAAGGCAACAGCTTTGACCAAAGAACAGACAGTCATTTTACAGAATCGAATTGCGATGCAAGATTTTGTTGGCCATCCTCTGTGGCCATCATGACTCCCTCTAACCTGACAGTCATTATGTACATCATACATCATGTATACGGCAACGCATTATGCCTTTCCTACAATAGCCACGAGTTCCATCTCGTGAAGCCTCAAAAGTATGCGTAATAGAATCCAACAAAGCTAACCCCAAGACGCCGTACCATCTGTATGTCCCAAATGTAGCCCTTGAATTAAGAGCCAAATAACACCAAGTGCAACGCAAATAGGTCATGCTTCATACACCTCCAAGGTCGCCTTCTCATGTTCATGCGTTCGGATCAGACTCAGGGACGCTCTCCTTTATCTCTTCAGGTATCTTCTCCACGGGAATATCGACTCCCTTAACGGGATGAATGAGCATTGGAGGCAGGCACATACGGCCCTCACCACCACGCATCTGGCCAACGCTAGATCCGTCCTTGCTCATATCTTCTGTCGTCTCGAACTCCTCACCACCATCGTTGTTAACTTTGAGGCCGAGCCAGCGACGGTACAGGTTCGGGGCAAAACCCGAGTTGTAGAACCAGCTGAGACCGCGCAGGTTGTGCTCGCGCTGACCAAACACAGCAGTACGAGCGCCACCACTAGCTCCGTTCTTGCCGCCGTTGAAGACCTGGGCCAGATATTCCGTGGGCCATTCTCTGTCGACGTACATGGGGTGAGGCGCAAATACTGCCTTGTAGCCGTGCTGGAAAGCGACGGTAACAGGCCACATTTCGGGGAAGGCGAAGTGCTTCTTGAAAGCAGTCTCGCGGTGCATCGTCATGAGCAAGCGGCGAGACATGCGCGAAGCAGTGATGATGTGGGCTCTTCTAGGCGGCATAGGCTCGTCCCGGTTGTTCTTGTTGTATCCAGTAATGTCCTCTGACAGCAACCAAGTGGTTCCCTCCGGGTCGAAGATGGGGTTGAAGGCGATGTAGTCGGCTTCTTCGCCAACACCCCAGGTGTACTTGTCCTTTTCGTACGTGGTAGGAGGCTTGGGGTCATTCTCGATCTCGAACCAGTCATCCTCGTTAGTAGGGCGCTCGGGTCCCCAGATGGTCTTCTCTCCTCTTGTAATCTTAGTAGGATCTTGGTTCTCCTTGGGCTTCGCGCCAGGGATGTTCTTCCACACGTTGTCAGCGCCATCCGTACCCATCTCCGACTGAACGCGGGTCATCTGCCTGAAGTCCTCCCACGAGCCGTGGACGCTGGGAATGTAGAATCGAGAGTTGCGCTCCCACATGCCCTTTCGCGGTTGCTCCTTGCCCCAGTTCTCCATCTTGGAGAAGAGGTCATAGTAGTGGCCAGTGTAGCGGATGTCCATCTCCCAGGACCAGTAGAAGTCGTACTCGGGGTGCTGGTAGCCGAAGTATTGCATAGCCATAGTGAGACCGCGGTAGACTCCGTGAACTGGCAAGTCGGGTCCACGAGTGTAGAGATCAAAGATGCCCTGGTACAGAGACAACATCTGCGTCTCTGTCCACAGCGTCACCAGGCCTCTGAACTCTTCAGGAATACGCTCCCTGATACGGCGCTCGTAAATCTCGTGATCGGCCCAAACGGGGTGTGCTGCGTCGTTCTTGATCTGAACGAGGAGATGGACGTCATATCGTCCGCCTGAAGCCAGTGCCAATTCGGAAATGACCGAGCGAACATTCATAATGTCCTCCTCGCGCCAATTGTACTCATCCCAGACACGGATCACAACGGCGGTTCGGGACATCTTTTCCTTGGGCTTTTGCTCCTGATCGGCTTTCGTGTCTGCCTCGGTGGCTTTGACACTGGCACTGGCACTGGCACTGGCACTGGCACTGGCACTGGGTTCCAAGTTGTCGAGAGGATCGCGCGTCACCAAGGTCGCATTCTGAGCAGGTTCGTCGACGAAGAAACCACGCGCGGCGGGGGTCTTGGGGGGTATTGGCTTGTACCTCTCGTTGTTCGACTGGTAGCACCGGCGCTGGGCATCTGCCCAGTCAACTTTGCGCCAGTCCACCTGAGGGGTCTTCTCCCACACAGCGTCAGAACCTTCCTTCTCGCCGTGCTCGCCAATTCCGAGGCCTCCAGCAGGGACGGAGTATCCAAAACCGTAGGGCGCGTAGCGTCCGAATCGTTCGTAGCAGATGTCTTCAGGCAAGTTGAGCAGATCGTAAGAGCCTTCGACGTGCTGGGGGAATCCTTGAGGGCGACCTTCGAGGTATCGAATGGGCGGGACGCGAACTTTGTTGTCCTTGTCGATGAAGCATTCATTCATCTTCTCAGGCTTTGTCACGAAGATGGAGCCGGGGTGATCGACAAACTCCTTGCTCTTGGGTACAGCGCGTCTGACAGCATCGTCCTTGCCGTCCTCGCTCGTCGTGGTGACGGTAGTGTTGATATCGAGCTGGTCCAAGGGAAGTTCGTCTGAGGAGCGGGGGTAGGAGGGGATGTACTTGGAAGGCGCGACTATAGATCTGACACCTCCGTAGTATCTTTGAATGAAGCTAAAAGACTCCCACACCGACGGAGGGTCTGGCTTCTTCTCCACCTTGCCCTCAATAATCATCTTGTTCTCAACGTGACTTGCGCGTACCAGAGACATGATCATGACCACCATAAAAGTAAGCAGTCCTAGGCAGAGGTATCGGATGATTCGGTTTGGGAAACGGTAAAGGTGGGTACGCGGGCGGCGGGCTGTCGCGAGAGCCCGCTTCGGGAGCATCATGGCTGCGCTCGAGAGGGATCCTGAAGTCTGCCGTGAGCTCTTAGCACTCGGCGAGGAGGATGTCGAGTAGTCTTCCGATTCGTCGTCGGACGAGTAATAGTCGTCGTCATCGTTTGAGAGGCGCTCCTTGGTGCGCAGAGGACTAAGTTGCTCGTATTTTGGTAATCTGCCCGTGCGGTTCTCGCGAGACCGCAATGGGTTTGAAAACATACCCATTTTGGATGCTGGAATGGAGTCTAAAGAGCCTCCAGTCAGTTTCTGAGGTAGACGGTTACGAAAATGGCAGTGCCGGTTGGTGGTTGCTTACCACGAGAAACCCGTGAACACCTCCAAGTGCTGTGGTCGAGGCCCGTGGGACGGGCGTGGCGGCTGTCCTGTCACTCGCCTTGGTGTAAACGATTCGCGTAACAATACAGGAAGGCCTGTGTGGTTTCCGGTAAAAGTTGTTGTAGACTGTACTGTTGGTAAACGAAATACAGCGAAGACGAAGACGTAGTGGGTGAAGGTGGGAAATGGATGCTCTGGACAGAATAAAGTAGAGGTCGCAAGCCAAAAAGATGGAGATGAGGTTCGGGGGCACGGTGCTAGGGCATCATATGGAAATGAAGCGCAGCAGGGGAACGAAAGACGGAGGTTAGTTTGGGCCAACAGAGTCCACCTCGAATAATATGGATCTATCAATGTTGGATATGAGTGACCCAGCGACGGCGGGACAACATGAGAAAAAAAGGCAGGAGCAAAACAGCGAGAGACAACCTAGGAAGGTACGTATTTCGTAGCTGCTAAGGTATGGGGTAAGGTAGCCAAGAAACGCAACGGACACGAGTAGTTCGGCAGTCCAAGTAGGTACGCTACGTTTGCTAGGTGGGATGCACACTGTGAAGTGGTGTGTGTCCTTGCTTTGAGCCATTGAGATGACCAGTGACGGGGGGAGTTCATTGTCTTTGTTGGACCGGGAAGGAGGGTGAGGGTGTGGAGCTGGTTCCTTCTTGCCCCCCCTATCCGCGTCCCACGCCATCGCCACTAAAAAGATTGGATCTGATTGGGGAATTGTTGCTCTGAGCAACGAGGGTGTGCAGGCGGTGTCTTTTGGCAGAATTATGAACACTCCACTCCCCTCCAGCTTGCAGCGCAGTCTTGCCCCCCCCACCCCCCCGTCCTGTCGGTGCCAGACTTTTTTTGCTTTCCTTTTTTACCTATTGGATGGTGACCAAGAAAGGTTCAAGGGCCGCAGCGCCGCACCGGACCTTGGCCCAAAGCAGCGACGAACAAGATGCAAGATGCGCGCCTGCCCTCTCCTGCTTTTTCTTCCTAGGCCCACGACTGGATTCTAAGTGCGCGCCAATGCGGGTCTCCCAGAACTTGCAGGAGCAAAGCAAGGGTTGTCGCCTTGGTCTCGACTTCCTCGCTAAAAGCTTGACTGGGGTCTCCCTGACAATCATTTTAACCCACTCCGGGACTGGTTGCCCGGTACAGTTCGGCTCCTTGATTGAAGGCGCGTTCCACTTCCCGTCCTCCTGCAATCCAGCAAATCCAAGACGCTTGAAATTCTAAATGAAGGGATCCTGACACTGTCTGGACACTCCTCTCTCGAGTCTTGACCGTCTTTAGTCTTTGATCCATCACATCACGATGAAAGAAGACAACTGGCACCGATGCTGCTTATCCATACTCCGTACTGGGTTCCGAGTTAACTGACTAGGTAGCAAGGTAGGGGGGCACTCGCCGGCCCCCAATCGCAATTCGCACTCCGCTTCAACCCACAGGAGGGATTGTCTGCAATTTGCAACTGCAGCCGATGAATGAATCAATCACCGCCCGCGCCACACATAGAATCGTTTCCTGTCTTGTCGCAACTCTCATCTGACCTACACAATGAGACTGGACGAAGCTGCAACAAGTTCGGACGCGCTCCTCTGTTTCGTCAACCTCTCCTAAGCCCTGAGTCCTGCCCCAACACTCTTGGCCGTTCCAACTTTCCTATGAGACATGGTCTCTCCATTATTCCGTAAGAGGGTACAACTACCGGTCCGACTCGAGGGAGGCATTTCTTCAGCCAGCTTCAATCTCGAGTCTGAATCCTGATCCATTCATGCACCCCGCAGTGTCTCCTCTCGAGTCTCCAAAATCGACGTCATGCTGCCAAGCTGTTTGGTGAGGAAGGATGGATTCGAATTTCGACCAAGAGCACCGGCGAAAGAACGTCTATCCCTACGGACCGCGACTCATCATCTCATTTCAAACATGACCCAAAGCACCGACGCAGTGTGCCAGTGCGACAAAGGAGATTATCGCAATGAGATACCATACCGGTCCGCCAATCCGTCAGTCCTGTCTCGTTAGCCTTCTAGATTCCAGCAGAACAAATTTAGAACACGCCGAGATTTAGCAGGCGAATATCGATTTGCATACCCAGTTTTCATCTTGTCATGCATGTGGCTGAGGGCGGAAGTCGTTGCAGCGCATCCCCGTACTCATACTGTGGTTGTGTGGTAGCACTAAGGCAATAACGTCCAGTAGGGGGCATGATGGTACGCTCGCTCTGTACTCCGTACACTTACAGAGTAAGTCGCTCCCAATGCAACCCCCCTATTTATACCTTATGTTCATCCCTGATCGACGCTATCTCCTGAGCTCGTGGCTGCGAGGTACGGATGGTAGGTATGCATTCACCCCTTTAGCCCAACCCAACCAACTCCTAAGCTCCGCATAACCGTCTATCTAATCGCCAAAGGCGCCGCGACGCTTAGATTGGACCTTTCCGATGGCAAGACCTTGACGCGTCCCGTCTCACCTAACACGGCCCGCGCCCGACAAAGATAGTTTCCCGGTCTCAGCACACTTCATGACAGCGGCAAGCCACATTCTTCCCAAGTTCATGCCGATCAACTTGTCAGTCGATGAGTGTTCGAGGCGAGAAGACGAGAGAGGGAGACAGCACACAGCTCGATGCTTTTGCATTCGTACATGCGTAAACTCTGCAGCGACGGACGGTCTACTTCCCCGGTGGTGGGTTCGAGTCTCCAGAGACGTGGTCCCCCTGACAACAAAACGCAACTTTGTTCTGAGCTTCCTCGGCGAGACTCCCGCACTGTTGTGATTGCCTACCAATGCAACCTGGGAGGTTCTTTTGGTATTCATTGCTGGAATTCGGAGCCTATTGTACAGTTGTGCTTATTTGCTGTCAATGTTTTTTGAGGCAGTGCACCACCTTCACCTGAGGATACGAGCTGAGGATCAACGAACATCAGATGTCTAACCGTCTCTTCAACATCTTCACGAGCGTCGTCACTCTGCAGCTAGCCAATGAAGGCATATTCGGAAGGAATTCGGCTGACCCGCCGCCGTCGAGTTGTACAAGTGCGCCCCTCACGGTGGAGACAAGCATCCGTTGGCCCCAAAGTGCTCCGGCGGCTCCTTTCAAAGTCAAGCACATCCTCCTGACCTCTCACCGTCCCGGGGGCCCCAGGACGCCCTCCGTCACCGGCGGCCTGGGTAACATTGTCCCGAACTAGCGGTGGAACCTTGGAACCTCAACTCAACACCATAGCCTGGGAGTGCTGCCGTGAAATCCCCATCAACCTCTTATGAAGATTCCGTATATCCCGAGCAGTTCATACCTCAAAATTGGTCTACAAGTGCACCGCTCCAGCGTGCGGAGTAACCACTTTCACGGCAGGGGTCCAGCGTTGACTGAGGGCTGCATTATAACGGCTTCTTGCTTGCCTCAGAAAGTCGGTGGACAGGAGACCTGATGCATACAGGGCCACGGTACACGGTACTGGCTTTGCCCTAGCTTGGTCGGCGAGGCGGGAACTTTGCCTATCTCTACCTCGCACGAGCCTAGTGTAAAGAGTTGCAGGCCAAAGGTTATGTGCGGCTTGTGGTTCAGACTTCCCTTCACCTAAAACTGGCCACTCGGATTTGACGCTTTTGTCAAACACCGTCACTTGATCAACAGTCACCTCGACGCCCAGCTTCTATGACCCCGCATAAGGTAGGCTGACTTGCGACAAGACCCCCCGGTGGCTAGTCGAACCTAGTGGTCACTCGTTCGTGTGTCAGGTCACGGTTGACCACATACCCTTACTTTGCATTCATTTTCCCTCGCGTATCTTTTTCCTCTTTTCTTCCTTTTGCTTCAACTACTTATACCGTGCTCCGTCTCCTCCATATTGTTGAAAATCCGCCCGCTTGAAGTTCACCTCCATCCCATCCCTCCTCGAGCCTGGCGGCTGTGCATATTAGTGCCCATGCGTATCACCATCTCGTAAGAACAAGAAAAGCCAAGCCATGTCCGTCGCTATCACCACATCGTCGGCCTCAACCCTCCTCCATGAAGAGCCAATTGCCTCACCCAATGCCTGCGGCGTGGGCCTGGACCTCGACCAGGCCTCCGTGAGCTGCGTCCTCAAGCAGGAAGCCATCTCTGTCACCCTCAACGGCCCCGCCATCTTCACCTTGTCCATGACTCTGGCCCTCATCATCCACTTCTTCGAACCCAGGATCGCCGAGACCCTCCTCGTCATCGTTCCCATCCTGCTCCTCGTACGGAACGACTACCACAACTTCCTCGGCCTCGGACCGGGCGGCACGCCGGCTACCTTCCAGGGCTACGTCCGGATAGCCTGGCTGCGGCTCTGGGCCCTCCGAGACCCCTTCACGGCGCCCGAGGCGAAGCCAAACATCCTCCCGAAGCGAGGCATCCTCCGCCAGGAAGGTGACCTCACCCGCCTCCCATACCGCCCCGGTCCCCGACCCCAGGTTGCCGGCATCGCGCCGCAGAGGCAGCTGGATCAGCACGGCACAGAACCGCACTACCACGCCCTCCGCAAGACGCTGCAGAAGCTCGCGTCCGCGAACCCGGCACGCTTCGGTACCGCGCGGTCCTGTCTCGAGAAGCACGGCCTGGGGCTCTTTGCGCGGCACCCCGTCAACGTCACGTGCAACGGCGAGGTCTGCCACGTCCACGACTCGGACCACAGCTTGCACATGAACCTCCACCCCGAAGACATTCGAGAGGTGCTGGCCAAGGGCTGGGGCCAGCGGCATCCGTTGGCGTGGAAGGGGAAGTTGGTGAGGATGCCCGTGCCGGAAGAGTTCGTCATGGTATATGCTCCGCGAGGTACGTTCTTCACACACACTGTTATTTTTTGGGTTAAAAGAAAACAACTACGCTGCGTGCTTTCCAATGGTGGCGGCGGGGTGACGGCTAGATGTCACACAGTTCACTGTTTTCTTTTTCTGGTTCCAGCAGAGAGCCATCACGAAGGCCGGAACAAGAAACACATATTCGTGGGAAGGGAGAGAGAGAGAGAGAGAAAATCAGGTCTGGCCCGATATCGATTTTCACTAATGCTGACTGTGCTTTGCAGATGACCACGAGCTGAGGATCGTGTGCAAGATCATTGAGGCGGCTATATGGTACGTCGTTTCCGAGAGAACAGACATCCAAGTCGAGAGGGCCGCTTGAGAATCTTTTCCTCTATCACGAGAGAAAGACTCGAGCGGGTTTTACCCTACTCGCCGTTGAAAGTGCTTATGAAAGAGACACACACACACACACGCACGCACGCAAACAGGCAATCAAAATTCAGGGGTTGGTCTTATGATTGGCACGAAATTGAAATTTGGCCTGGAGTTGGAGGAGTCTTGATAGATCAGAAACAAGTAGATGAACCAAAAAAAATACTGGACTCATTGATGTTATGTCTACTGGTGATATACATGCCTATACGACGATATGTAGAATCTCAAAGATGCGAATTGTAGACGTCTGAGTACCATCAAGCCAATAATGCCAAATACCCCCCTATTCTAGGTCCTCTACCTCCCTGCTTCCCAGCACCGGCAACTCTCATGCCTATAGCTTCCTGCATCGATCTGAACACCGCCTCAGATGATGTTTACCCCTGTATTGCATTTCAACATAAAAATGAGAGGGACGAGCGGTCTAAGAGTGTCACTCGGAAAGTTTTAAAAGATGCCCAAAAATGATGTGGTATTCTGCCTTTGAAGGCACTTCTTTCGGCACTACCCGTCCTTGCGGTCTCCAGTAATACAATTCTATACATACAAGCCTCTCAATCTGGGAACCAACGTCTCCAAGGGGTAGGGAAAACAGAGCAACTAGTCGCTATCGCTGACCTGTCCCCTGGACATCTTAAACTTCTCCCTAGGCTTCGCTATACCCGCCTCCACGATCCTTCCATCAAACGCCCGCCCGTGCATGAGCTGGATACACGCCTGCGCGGCCTGCGTGTCCGAAAACTTGACCGCCACGACGCCGTCCGGCTCCTCGTCGTAGAGCACCACGTTGGTGACCTTGCCCAGCTTCCCGCACTCGTCGCGAATGTCCTCCTTGATCTCCACCAGCGCCGCCGGGTCCTCCTCCAGCTCCGCCAGCGTAAACATGTGCCGCAGGATCACCGTCCGGTTCCGCTTCGAGGTGCTTTCTACGGGTGCCGCTGCCACGTCGTCGTCGCTCCAGTCCGCCAGCTTCGCCGCCATCTTTTGCGTCTTGCGGATGATTTTTTGCTTGTCTCCGTTGTTGGTGCTCCGCTGCGGCCGGGCCGCCGCCGCAGCACCTTCTGCTCCCTCCCCTGCTTTGCCCCCTTCCGCGCCATTCGTGTCCTCGTCGTACTTTGTCTTCTTGTAGCTCGAGTCGGCAGCCTGGACCTTCATCTTGGGTTGCCCCGCCGGACCCGGCTCGAAGCGGAACTCCGTGTCGTCCAGCAGCATAATGGCCATCTCGACGCTCTGCGGCTTGAAGAAGACGACGAGCGCGTCACCCTTGAAGTTGCCGGCCTCGTCCGTGTACATCTTGATGCGCGGCCGACCGCTGTCAATCTCCTCGGCAATCACGCCAGCCTTGCGCGAGAACAGGTCGTGGACCTCGTCCACCGTCGCATCGGAAGGTAGGCCCGTGACGTAGACGGCTGTGTTCTGGCGCGGCGGCGGCGGTGCGCGCGCCGGCTTGGCCTTCTTCGCGGGACGCGCCCTACCGTTGCCGTTGTCGTTACCATTGCCGTCGCCGCTCTGTTGTCTGTCCGCGCCGCCGCCGCCGCCGCCCGCATCTGCCGACGTGGGCGAGTCCTTCCGTTTCCTGGGGTTGTTGCTGCCTCCGTTGTTATAACTCGGGCCTGCACCGGCTCTCGAGAGGTCTGCTAGTTGCGCCGCGGTCTCGTCTTCGTCGTCGAGTGGTTCTATGGGTTCGTCGGCGGCCTCGGCCCACGTGGATGTTGCCGGGTCGAACTCGAGCTCGGTACCGTCATCGAGGACGGCCAGGTATTTGTTGTCGAGCTTGGAGAAGGAGATGCGTTCGTCGCTCCCAAAGTCCTCGACGAAGGTCGGCAGGGGGTCCTTTAGTTGGTCCGCCATTGTGAGAAAGGATTTTGGGGGCGTCTAGGACTGAAATCCCGCGAAGTGCAAACTTTTGGAAGGCTGTGAAGATCTGGGATAATGCTCGAAGTGTTTGAAATTGGACTACAGCTTTCGGCTTGAATCTATGCACGAATTCCGATCGCATTCTCCAGTGACGTTAGTGGGCCAACGGCGCAGGGACTGGGGTCAATGTGGGGTCCCGTTATCCCTCGTCCTTCGGTACGTACCTAGCACTATGAATTCGCAGGTTGTTCTCCAATACACCCAGAGGAGAAGTGCTCAGGATGAACTACCTGCATAATACCAACTACCTTATATGCATAGATGGCCCGAGGATAAAGACTCTCGATACTACAAGCGAGGGAAAATCAGCGCTTGATAACTTCTGACAGTCATGTCAAATGCTTTTCTTCCGTCTTTGTTGAGCCTCACTTTCTGTTGAGCAATTGCTTAGGGAGTGTGTCGACTACCCTCTAATAAGTCGAACGCACGCAGTAAATTAGCTCAAGACATTTACGGGATGCCTTCTTGCCAGTTTTATCCTGAAGATCTTGTACTCGATCTGAAGCACAGGGGAAAGAGCCTTCACAAGATACATCGTAATCATTGCTAGATGGCAGACGAGAACCTGAATATCAGGCAGTCTATCGTGTCGATCTCTATCGTTTCAACTTCCAGGCCGTATGTGCCCTATGGGCCTGGACTAACCCTGCTTCTTCTCCTTGACGGTTGATTTGACACCCTCGACAAAGGCCTCGACCGCTTCGCCGCCGCCCAAGGGCATAGCACCACCCCTCATATAACCACCATTGGGCACCTTGACGCTAAGAGCCTCCGCAATCGTGGGAAGACCACCATCGCGCAGCGCCATAGTCAAGCTTCCAAGTGCCTGGTGGAACTGAGGACTTCTAAGGACTCTCTCCAGCAGGCTCTTCTTCTCTGCAAGGCTCAAAGTGGCTGTGGCAGCAGCAGCAGCGTCCGCCGTGGGCTCAGAGTCACCCAAGTCGTCTGCCTCCGTGGCAAGTACGACGATTGCGGGAGGCAGAAAGCTCAGGAGGCTGTCGATGAACTCCTCCGACGCCGATCGAAGCATCGGAATGGTGATCTCGTTCGGGAGAAGGTGGCTGAGGTATGGGAAAGGCTTGTCTGCGTGTTGCTGCTGCCCGCTTTGCTGTGATCCACTCAAGCTGGCGTTGCCTTGTAATGATGCGAGGAAGTTTCGAACGGCAGCATCTGCGTCAGTATCGGAGCCGCCAGCGGCGCTATGAACCGATTAGCACAAGAGCATATAGTGGAAGAGTCAAGCCATGGGCACTGCGCTGAAAAGCCAAAACTCCGAACCCTCTTGTCTTTTGAAAGGCTCTAAAAAGTACAGGTGACGCCATAAGACGGGGCCGTCTTTTTTCTCGCCAGTGCCCATGTAACCCGCGTAACTCTAACGACCCTGGACTCCAACCACCAGAGCCATGCATGAGGAAGTAACCTACGCTCGTGCTCCATCACCTCCACCTTCTCTGGCATTCTCGCCTTCTTCTCTAATATCGCCTCCTGTGGCGCCAGCACCAGCGCCGCCGCTGCCTCCCTGAGACTGTTCGTGCCGGTCTCCCTGGCCCTCAGCATCTTCCATCGTTTCGTCATCGTCATCGTCCCGCCTGTCGTCGGTGTTGCGGACTTGTGCCAGTTCGCGGCTCACGTTGACCTCCTCGCCCTGAAGAAGCGCATTGACAATTTCACCAATCTTCTTGTCGCGCGGACTGAACCAGCTGGGGTCTCCGTTGCGCGACTGAGGCTTGGACTGAAGCCAGAAGAAGTGTCTCTGGGAGGAAGAACCGAACTTGAGGACGAAGACGCGACCGTTTGTCTTTGCTGAGGGTTGATCGGCGGCAGCGTGAGCGACGAATTCACCGTCCATGGGCACCATGACGAGGTCGAGATCGGGGTTCTCCATGGTGGCGGTGCGCTCTCGCCAGCAGAAGTGGATCAAGTCTGTTACTTGTTAGGCATTTGCAAAGATAACGGTAGTAATCATACGAACCATCTTCGGAGTAGAGGTAGATGTAGCCAGGTGTCGCCTGCGGCTTGATCTTGTAAGGCTTGCTGGAGGTCTATGATAGATGTCAGCGAACCGGGGTCTGCAATGCGGAACTGCACCACTGACGTCTGCCTCGCAGATACCAGCCTTGAAGGTGATTATCGGCAGAATCGACGACATGGTTTGCCTTCAATTTGGTTGTGTGTGATAGGTAACGGCGGGTGTTGTCGTGAAGTCCGGATTTGGCAGTCGTTTGTACGGTGATTTGGAGAAGGGCGATTGGCGTGAGGTCGAGCTTGTCTCGTTTGGAGCTATCGACTGCAATTGCGTAGGAGCTCCCTGCCTACCGCCTGAGGTGGGTTGGCGGCGTCGGATCCATCCATCCCACCCGCCATTGGATCCACTGCAGGGGGCTCTGCTCTCACGGCCCGTCCTTACTCCGAAGAGGGGTCCGGCGCTGGGCAACCAGGATGGTGGGGTCCGTGCCGCCTGGAACCTGAGTGAAGAGCACCGCAATCTCAAAATTTTCGACCTGGTCCTTCCCAACCCCACCTTCACTTATTACTTATTTCTACCTGAACCTCGACACATCCTCCTTCTGCTTCTTCTTCCACAGATACCCCTTTCCCTTCCCTCTACACACTCTTCAAAACGCAAAAATGGGCTTCGCCGACCTTCTCACTGATGCTGGTGCTGCCAGTAAGTTTCTGCAGCGATGATTCTTCTTTCTTTCACGGGCTGACAATCGTGTCAGTGCTGAACAGCTGGCTCACCACCCGCTCCTACATCGTCGGGTAAGTTTGCAATTCCCTATTCACCGCTCCCGAGTATCCTTCTTCGACTCTTCGACTCCCCTTTTGGCATTACATGATGAGGAAAATTGGTCCGTGTTTCGGAGGCAGACTCAAGACCTGCTATTTGACGACAAAACCAGCACTCTGTGCAACTCTGACCCCCGCCTTACCCATTCACTCTTATCTCGCAAAAGAAAACTTGGGCAAGACATCGCCGCTAACAATCGGCACAGCTCCACCCCTTCCCAGGCCGACGTTGCCACCTTCAAGGCTCTTACCTCTGCCCCTGATGCCGAGAAGTACCCCCACGCCGCCAGATGGTACAAGCACATCGCCTCCTACGAGAGCGACTTCGCCACCCTTCCCGGTGATGCGTCCAAGTCCTACTCCGTCTACGGCCCTGAGGCCACTGAGCTCCCCGTGAACCCCGCCAAGGCCCCCGCCGCCGAGGAGGATGACGAGGATGTCGACCTGTTCGGCTCCGACGACGAGGAGGAGGACGCCGAGGCTGCTCGCATCCGTGAGGAGCGCCTCGCCGAGTACAAGAAGAAGAAGGACAACAAGCCCAAGCTTGCTGCCAAGTCTGTTGTGACCATGGATGTCAAGCCCTGGGGTATGAACTTTCGCTTGAATCATGACCCGAGGACATTGTGCTGACTGTATTGCAGATGACGAGACTGACATGGCTGCCCTCGAGGCTGCTGTCCGCGGCATCGAGAAGGATGGTCTCGTTTGGGGTGCTTCCAAGCTCGTCCCCGTCGGTTTCGGTATCAGGAAGCTCCAGATCAACCTCGTCATCGAGGACGACAAGATCAGCTTGTCTGACCTTGAGGAGGAGATTGCCGAGTTTGAGGACTACGTCCAGTCCGTGGACATTGCTGCTATGCAGAAGCTGTAAGAAGCTTTATGATGATCGGGAGGGATGATTTCACGAGGCATGATGGTGGAGACATGAAAAAAATTCCATAGAATCCTCACAAGAAAGGTTATGGCTCAGGAAACGCAACAGTTTCTGGCACCAACAAAGGCAGCGTCCTTTGTCGCACAAATAGTGCGGGCTTAAGGCCTTTTATGAATACAAATGAGGTTATGAAAACCTTTTGAAGAAGACAACATCTTGGTTCCAAATTCCTCGTTTCTCTGTATCTGCAAATGTGAATCATGGATGAGGGGTCGAATTGGCACCTGCCGACCTTGATGACTCCCAAGGTACCTACCTCCGGTCAAAATCTGACAGCGATGAAATGTGTATCAAAGTGGGGCGGCGCTAAGTGAGGGGCAATTCTTCGCTTCCATCGAGGGCCCTCCCGGAAGGGTAAGCCAATGCAACGCGACTCGAGTAGTTTGTGAACCGTGCCTTACAACGCGAACGTCGACACGCAACGCGCCAGCCGCAGCAACTCAACCAGCCTACTCTTGTTTGCCCAACCTGACATATTCTCAGTCAAAATGTACGGCGATTTGGGCAATAAGTTGGTATAGTCAGGCCCAGGGACAGCCTTTTTGTCACGTCGTCGCAAAGAGCTAACGCGTTCGCCAGGTACAACATGCTAAACGAACCCAAAACCTTTCGCATTTGCCAGCGTACCAAGCCGAGATAGTACGCGCCGTTACGCGCGAAGTCAGGGATCTTGAAAAGGATGTGACGGAGGTTCTAGAGCCTTTCCAGGGCTCTTTCGACCCAACTGCCGACCAAGCGACAGCATGCACAGTCCTCGTCAACTATCTCTCCATACGAAGGAACAAGCGATGCGTTCTCGCATACCACCGAACTCGGACGGATAAACTGGAAGAGCTGGCATGGAATGGAATAGACGTGCTTGATCTGGCTGGGCAACAAGTACGAGGCAATGCAGGATCATCAACAGGAGGTCCCAATGGCAACGCCGATGGTCCTACGAGCAGTCTGAGTCCGCAAGAGGAGGAGTATGTGAGGCAATACGGCGATCTGTTGGCTGCCTACAAAGGGCAATGGACGGATATCGATTTAACGGGAAGCTTGGAGCCCCCGCGAGACCTTTTTATCGACGTGAGAGTCTTGAAGGATGCAGGAGAGATCCAGACCGAATACGGGTGAGTTTGAACCTCTTGAGCCGCAGAGTAGGATTGCGTCTGACGCCGGGGATCTAGCGCCATCAATTTGACCAAGAACAGTCAGTTCTATGTCAGACAGGGCGACGTGGAGCGGCTCATAGCACAGGGTTATCTCCAAAAACTCAGCTGATGCCCATAACCGCCCTCGATCTGGCTGGCTAACCTCGGAGTTTCGAGATAACGATACTAAGAGGAATGTGCCTTCATTTCTCCCATTCTTGGAGATCTGTGGAGCTTGAGTGTTACGGATGTACGGCTGCCTTGACAAGACCCTTGCACGGATGATGAGATTCGATGTTCTCGTCAGAAGCAAGGCGGGGCGCCATTGCCGGCAAAATAACAAGGCGCGATGCGTCAAGATGATGAGAGCAACTTGACATATGAGAAATATTCCGCTGGCACTTCGCGGGGTACGCGGGGTGCACACATGCAGTTTCAAGGGGCTGAGTGACCGGACTCGCGAGAAGAGACCAAGCGATACAGGCGACTTCTTTCTTGCCATGGATCAGAGGTGCAGAGTAACGTTGTTGCGAACATGAAGCCTGGCCCCAGAGCAACATGGGGGCCAAGATCTGCATCGCGGACGGCTTCCGATGCGGCCGGCTCTGGGCAAAATTTAGTGGCTTGCATAGCAACGACACAATGAGGCCCGCAAAAGAGTCTGATGGAGGTTCAAGTAACGGAATCCGGGGCCAAGATGGCATGCGGCATATCTAGGTTGCTGGGCTGACTGAGTCTGTAACGGGCTCCTTGCTTTTGGGCTGTCAGCGATGAGGGGAGAATTGGGGAATATGTCTCGCATGTGGCGGCCAAACGTGCACCTCGACTTCTTGGGTCACCTCCAGTACCTACCTATGCGGCAGCTTGGACCAGTTGCGGTGGCGCGCGGGGAATGAACATCAGATGTCGCGATATCCGCGGCGGATGAGCATAGCAAAAGCGATAGCGACATTGGAAGATCAGGCTGCATTGAAACCTCAGACATGTCTACGACCTTGGACGTCTCTTGAGGCGAATCCAAAGCAGGGCCGCCATCTGACGAGCTGGAGCCGCAAGATGGGTAGCCAGTCGGTTGTGGACAAAACAGCTCAGTTACACAGCACAGGCATGGCCTTGTGCGCTGCATTGCATCATGCGCCGCATGACGGTCGCTGTTGGTCGACTGTCGACCTGTACCTAGTCTTGGACATGAGATGGCTACCTCATAGGCTCATAGCAGGGGAGGGCCGATGTAGGCCGAAGTAGGAGACGGCAGGCCAAAAATGTAGTGTAGTCTGCTGATTGTGACCTTAGCTTATTAGTTCGTCTTGCAGCGTTGCAGAACACGTCGAGCCATTAAAGGGAGACGATGACGAGCAATTGACGCCGGATTCTCCAATTGACAAGGCGTATTACCCCACGCGAGAGTTGTGAAGGAAGCTGAGTTTGAGGATGCATTGCATTGGCTCTTTCAGACGTGAGCTTGGGCTGGGATATGGTCACTCTTGAATCTTGATACAACAGGCGGAGGCAGCACTCGAACGGTGCGGGCGTCTGCCCCTCCGTTCCATTCCGTCTGCGGCCCACGGCCCACGGTCCAGAGCCTGATGCTTGGCTTGTTGTTGGAGGAGAGGGCTCGAGGAGGAGAGTCGTGGAGAGCGGAGGCAATGGAGGGCACGGATAGGTAGGTACCACACCTTACTGAGTACGGATACCACAATCCACGATGGAGGCAAAAAGAAGTGAGGGTGTGCAGAGAGTGGCCCCGGCTGCCGAAGAGGGGAAAAAAAAAAGGACGACTTGGAATCCTTGGATCCGAAGTGGGGGAGCCGACCTTGGAGAGGGTGGGCTGCCCAGTTAGTCTGCCGTGCTTCCAGTCCAACCATTTATTGTACGGAGTACGGGATACTTCCATTTGTACGTACTCCGTACCCATTTCGCCATTCCATTTGCCTTGCAGCGGCTGTAAGTGGCTCACTGGAGGGGTCGCCGTCCTGTAGGTGCAGCAGGGATTATTCGCGGCGTTACGGAGTGCAACTTGAGCGCCGTCGGCACCCACCCGTGGGCACTTCAGTCGAGCAGCACCAAATTCCTCTACCAACTTGCTCTAACTATGAGGTATCTTACGGAGTTTGGTGGTACGGCAACCCGGACTTGCGATGGGTCGCGGAATGCCCGCACCAGATACCACGAGGATTTGCGCTAGCTTGCCGTTAAGAGGGACAAGCACCTCAGGAACAGCTTTCCTTGGCCTAGCAGATACGTAGGTACATCAGCAACTACCTCAGGTAGGCAAGGTACTTCCATTGGGTCCAGTGTTCGTACGAATACTTGCGTACCCAACGTGCTAACCATGCAGTAAAAGTCGTAGCATGCCGTAGGAGGCACGCTACTGAGGGGCGAGGGGCCACATGCAAAATGCAAATTTGACCTGGATCAAGGTTTATCGTTCGTCCAATTCTGCGTGCTACGTGCTGCATGCTGTTGCGTTGCGCGCGCCCATGCCATGCCATGTTGACGACAACCTCTTGACTCTTGAGTCTTGACCTCCTACCATACCTTTTACTCCGTACTCTTTACACCTTCAACTTACCTCAGGTGGCTCACCCTCTCCGCGGTCTCCACGCTTTCCATCTCCGTCCCGTCTGCTCTAAACCAGCCCGTCCACCCACTTGGTACATTACCTATTTACAGGTTCGTGCTCTTCCATCTTTCTCCATCCTACCCTTCTTTGGCTTTATTAGCCTTTTAGGCCTTTCCGCTCACGACCCAGAAACCAGAACGACTTACACGGGCCATACTGGCTTTGCCCGTAGATCTGGCCCCGTCCGTCTGCTATCTCCTAATACGCTTTCCCATCTCTTATCTGCGCCGACACCCACCACACATTTCTCTCCTCTCGCGCACCCCCCAGCTCAGCTTCCCATGTTTTCCACGACGCAAAACTTGCAATAACAGCCGCACCACCGGCCTGGCACCCTGACAATTGGCGCCTCCAAGAAGGTGCAACGGTCATCCTCGGTGCTCTGCCACCAACTGTGAACCTACCCAGTCACATAGCATAGCTAGCTAGCTACCTTGGCCATGTCTTCTCCCAACTTTGCCGGCTTCTCTCCATGGAGGAGAAGAGCCGCTTCCTTGAGCTCGCAGAGGTCCCAGAGGAACAGCGCCGAGATCAACCCGGACAACCCGCTCCTCAGTCCTGGCCGGAGTTCCCAGAATGCTCCCGATTCAAGAACTCTCTTGTCGTCTTCCGTGAGCTCGAGTCACCGAGAGCCGATCCGTTCCTTCATCCACGGCAACGTGAGGGACCACCTAGGCAAGCACCCCATGGTCGGCGCATACGTCACCCAGGACGCACAACCAGCTAACATGCTATCTGTAGCCCCCGTCGATAGCGCCCAATTCGCCCGCAGCGTGCGCGAGGATACGGCCGAACTCGCCTCGTATCTACTATCCGACAAGAAGTCGGGCCAGAGCCCGGCTTTCCTCTCGCGCCAACGCTCCCAGTCGTCAGCTCTCGCACGAGAGACCGCTATTTCGGACAACGAAGAGGACGAGGAGGACGCAGTTGCGCATGTTGCGAGCTCCGAGACGATTCAAGAGGTATCGGAACCTTCTTCGCCGGATGGAAATGAGGAGGAAATGCCAGAGGACGGCCCCTCCATCTTGACGAACCTACTCAAGAAGTCGCCTCCCCAGTCGCACCAAGACCCGTCACCCGAACCCCAGCCAGAGCCATTGGATCCATCGAGCCCCGAACCGAAGCGAGCGCATTCTGTGGAGAGACAGGAACGAGAGGTGCAGCAACCGACGAGGCCTGCTGTGAGGGAACCTACCGAGCGTACTCCTCTGATCCCCAGGTTATCGTCTGATAGTCTCGAGAGCTACAACACGAGCGGAGCCAGCACCGAAATCGATGTGGAAGGACAGAAGCAGCGACCTAGGAAGCGGTGGTTGGGAGGTCTGAAAGATCTCACCGTGAACGTTGAGGAGCGCATCGTGCATGGATACCAAATTGCGACAAGTCCCAAAGCTTG